GTGAGCCTGCGTCGCGTCCTGTCTCGCCTGTCTGTTCTGGTCGTTCCGGTCGTCGTGTTCCTCGTCCGCCTCTGCCGGCTATCCCCGACACCCACCTCGTAGTCCGTCGTCCTTCCTCTCCTCCGCAGCGTGTTCCTCTGCCGTCCCCTCCTGCGTCTTCTCTGCCTGTCGTTGCGGACCCCGAGTCTGACCGGTTTCGTGCTGAGCACCCTACTGTCACGCGTCTGCTAGCCACTGTTGTCACTGACCCGTCGTTTGAGTCTGCTGCTACGTCTGCCTTAGTTGCTGAGCTTGTTGACTTTGCTGCTGCCTGTCGTCTAGACTACGCCGCTAGTCTTGTTGCTGAGTCTGAGTCTGTCTGTCCTCCGTCCGTCGGGGGTGAGTGTGCTCTTGGCACGGATGTCCTTGAGGACAGGCAGGAGGACCTTGAGTGTCTTGCAGCCGCTGCACCTCATCTCGTGCCCATGCTGCTTGCCCCTGAGGGAGACCCGGATGCTCCAGACATCCCGACCCCGCGCTCTTACGCTGAGGCGATCGCGGGTGAGTACTCCTCTCAGTGGCAGACAGCCATGGATGCAGAGATGGCATCCTGGAAGTCCACAGGCACCTACGTCGACGAGGTTCCCCCACCTGGGGCGAACATCGTCAGTGGCATGTGGATTTTCAGGGTGAAGCGGCCGCCAGGTTCTCCGCCTGCCTTCAAGGCGCGTTACGTTGCACGAGGTTTCAGTCAGCGAGAGGGAGTAGACTTCTTCCAGACCTTCTCCCCCACCCCGAAGATGACCACTCTTCGGGTGCTGCTGCACGTTGCCGCTCAGCGAGACTAGGAGCTTCACTCTCTTGACTTCAGCACAGCCTTCTTACAGGGCAGCCTGCACGAGGAGATCTGGCTGCGCCGCCCACCTGGCTTCACTGGGTCGTTCCCTCCTGGTACCTAGTGGAGCCTCAGGCGGCCGGTCTACGGTCTCCGCCAGGCGCCACGTGAGTGGCACGACACACTGAGGACGACACTTGCGGCTCTTGGGTTTGCTCCGTCGACTGCTGACCCGTCGCTGTTTCTACGCACCGACACTTCGCTGCCGCCATTCTACATCCTAGTGTACGTCGACGACTTGGTCTTTGCCACTGCTGACACTGAGGCTCTCGCCCAGGTGAAGTCGGAGCTGCAGAAAAGACACACGTGCACAGACCTGGGTGAGCTGACAAGCTATCTTGGCTTGCGGATCACCCGGGACAGAGCACGCCGCACCATCACACTGACTCAGTCACACATGGTGCAGCAGGTCCTTCAGCGCTTCGGCTTCACCTGGTCCTCGGCACAGCACACTCCTCTGGGTACAGGTCACTCGCTCTCAGCTCCACCTTCGGACGAGTCCGTAGAGCCGAGTGGTCCTTACCCAGAGCTAGTGGGCTGCCTCATGTACCTGATGACCTGCACTCGTCCTGACCTTGCGTACCCTCTTGGCCTTCTGGCTCGCTACGTGGCTCCTGGTCGGCACCGAAAGGTTCACATGGATGCTGCTAAGAGCGTGCTATGCTACTTGTGCAGTACATCGGGCATGGGGCTTGTGCTTGGAGGGCGGAGCCCAGTTGTCCTCACTGGGCACTCAGACGCTTCTTGGGTTGACGACCAGGCTACGCGGCGGTCGTCACAGGGTTACACCTTCAGCCTTGGCTCTGGTTCGGTTTCTTGGCGTTCTACACGCTCGTCTTCAGTTCTCAGCTCCAGTTGTGAGGCTGAGATCTACGCCACAGCCATGGCTGCACAGGAGTTACGCTGGCTCACCTACCTGCTGACCGACTTGGGAGAGAGGCCTCGTTCTCCTCCAGTGCTGTACGTCGACAACAAGGCTGCTATTGCCTTGTGTCAGGAGCACAGACTGGAGCACAGAACAAAGCACATCGCTCTGCGTTACTTCCTGGCTCGAGAGTTGCAGCAGCGTGGTCAGCTTCGTCTTGCTCACGTGGCCACTCGGGCCAACACTGCTGATATATTCACCAAGGCGCTTCCGTCTGGTGATCATCAGCGTTTCTGCACTCTGTTAGGCCTTGTGCCTACGTTTCCTCACTTGCTGTAGACTTTGCCTGTACTGTGATCTATATATATACCTGCATGCTTGCTCTGCTAGGTAGAGATCACTGTGCTGTTGTTGTTGCATATATACCTCTGCATGTGAACTGGCCTTGTGGCCCTTTGCTTGTGCTCAGTGTGTGTGGTGACGTTGTGATCCACCCTGAGCTTGTTTTGCTTCTCTTGACTGGTCTTGTGACCCCTTGCTCTCCCCCACTTTGCCTATGGGGGTGTGTCAAAGTATATGCATGTTATATATGTGTAGGCTGTAGTGGGGTAGCCAATATGGGGTACAGCCCTTTTTAGGGTTTCATACTTGTACCTAACTCTTTGATAGTTCATCCATTCCTGCTGCTTGATTCTGACATCTGTTGGCGCGCCTGGTCCGATCATTGGCCACTTTTGCAGCATTATGTGGGTTGACCAATGACAAGGTTGCAACAGAGAGATGCTGGCAGGCTGCGATGCGAGGGTTTCTGGCCCATTGCTTGCACATGTGGTCCTATGGCCCGTTTTGTCTAGGTCGTGCTGGCAAGCACTGATGCATCCACGCCGCCGAGCCGTGCTACCTGCCATCCAGGCTCCCATCCCATTCTGCTCCATGCTTTCCTTCCATCCGCTTGGGGTTCCATGATCCATCATGTTCCTCCCTAGTGTTATCTCATTTAAAGTTCAATATCAGCCTTTACAAAAAGGGAACACTGATGCATCAGACTTTTTTTTAAGGTAACACTGAATTTTCAGGCTTTTTTTTTTTTGGACACTTACGATCAGGGATTCTACACAGAGGGACCCTGATGCATTAACGTGCCTAAAAGTGAATCATAGGCCCTGCCATGTACTCTAAGGGGTACATTCCCTTATTGCAGTGAAACCCAACCGTGCGACTCCAGACGGTTACAAACTGCCTGGGCAGAATCCTCGCCACTGCTGCTGACTGATGCTGTCTGCCCAACGGTCCAGGTGCCTTCGTAACCGTACGACCTTTCGCGCCACTTCCGTCCTTTCGTCTTCATTCTCTGTAGTGCGTGCTTCGATTGCTGCAGTGAGGAGTGCACAGTGATGCTTCAATAATTACTATTCGCAACAAGAGCTACTAATGGATTCTTCGCACTCCTACCGTAAAAATCGCCAAACCAAAACTAACGACCGGCACAAGCTCCCAGGTCACGATTCACACTGGATCCCTCTCATACCTAGGCCTTCTCCTTCCTTCTTTCCTAATATGTCCCACGACTTCTTGTGCGAACATACGCCTTCAGCATGACGTCTTATTCCTTTGCATAACAGAATAGATATATATGCCATTCATGGCAGTGTTTTGTCTCAATACAAGAATGCTGTCGAGATATTTGTGCGTTGAGCCGAAATGACGTCGGAATCGCGGAAATGCAAGTTCCCGCCTTACGGTGGTTGGTTTGATCGCGCTTTACAGGGCAGACCAGCCTCGTGAGAAGGCATCAAGATCACCAGAGGGAACCAATAAAGCGGAGCGTTCTGCCTGACCTGGCTTGTGCCATGTCTGCCACACAGCAGTTTTCGCGCCCATTTCTCGCGCGACCGACTGCAGCGGCTTGGTGAAATCTTGAGGGCAAGCCCCTGCCAAATTACTAGGTTCGGACTGAACGAGGCAGCATAAAGGCAAAAATACTTTCCTGGTCTACCTTTTCGAATGGGCTGGTATGTATTTTAATTTGAAATCTCCACACTCGGTGTGCTCTCTGGTGCTTTTCTACACGAGCACCAATCAGCACGAGCTAGGAATTTACCCTTAGTAAACTTAATCCCAGAAGGCCTTATTTCAGGGGTAAAGTGTTCAGGAAAATCCTTACATTGGGGCTCTTGAAGAAAAATCGTTGTTGCGGCATGAGACAAGTCCTAGGGGAATGGTGGCAGCCGCTAGGCATCATCAGCGACACAGCTGATTGAGCCGAATCTTCCACAGGAAACGAACTCTGACACAAACCCACCCAGCCTCAAATCCCACCCAAGCCACGTACTTGTTGAGGTGCAGGAAGCCGCTGTACACCAGCTTGGCAGCGTTTCCCACCGCTTTGTTGATGAGTTGACAAGCAAACCAGATCCGGTGGGTCCACCACCACGGAAACGGAGCCTTTCATCCCAATACTCATTTCCACGGCTATCTGCTTGCTATCAGCCGCTTGTGGAGTGGGTCTGGTTGTGTCAGTTCCAGGCCCTAGCCTCACCTTCATTCGTGGAACGAGAAACTATTGCGATATCGTTTGTTTAAGCTGCTCCTGAAGGCTGCGCGACACGCGCGGGAAACGCGAAGGGTCAAAGAGCGTTTTCTTGCACGAGGCAACCCAGACAGGACGACCCACGAGCATGCTACTATTGCTGTAATGGGTAAGTGCAACGTTGACCGCACACCCGCATAACGTGAAACTTATGCGAAACTGTATAATTATACTGTCATTCTTTCTTCTAAAAGCCTCGTCATGCTCGTAGTTTCTGACGAGCTGTACACGGTCGAACCTATAGATAGCTAACCATCCATGGATCCACATGCATTTGCGAAAGGACATGGATAGTCGGACCTTTACATTTCGTTACCAGAGGTTCCCGCTATCGCCTCAACACCCTCCTCATTGTCGACGCTTGGTCCTTTCCACCTCGGGTTCCCGCCAACGTGAAGCGTCAGCGATGGACGGCGTAATGCGAGTCCTTCAAACGCACAACCAGATCCGATCACGCGTGCCAATCGCCACGCAACCGTTGCCTCGGTTCTGTCTGTTCCTCACCCCTCTGTCCTCCGCATCCAACCCAATCCCTGTAACTCCTTGTTTCAGAGTCTAACGGCGTGTGCCGTGTTCAAGACGTGTGGTCTCCCGTTCCGCGTCGCCTGCTACTCTCAAGTTCACTGCGCCGTTTCCTGTCGTCGAAGGGACATCGCAACGGTCGTCGCTCTATGTGGGGGTTCTCGCTCAACATGACGCTCGCCATCGCCATCATCGCGCTCCTGCCGCTTCTGCTCGGCGTCAGAGCAGACGAGGTTCATCTGTCGAATCGCGCTATCGCGTATCAAATCTGGCCCGGAGGCGGCGGCGCGTTTAACCCGGGAGGTGACAGCGGAGGGGGAACCGGCAGCGGAGGGGGAACCAGCAGCGGAGGGGGAAGCGGAGGGGGAAGCGGCCGCGGAGCTATCCCGGGTGGTGGTGGCACTGGGAGCGACGGTAACTTCTTCCCGTCCCCCCAGTCCCCTTCTGGTGGCGGTTCCCCTAGCAATCCTCCCTCGCCCTCATCTCCTCCCTCCTCCAGCAGCCCCCCGAAATCCTCCTCTCCGCCCGTGCAATCGTCTCCCCCGGCCGACCAGTCTCCGCCTACCTCGTCGTCGTCTTCCCCTCCCATTAATCGCTTCAAGACAGGTCCCCCGTTCGGACCGCCTAAGGCTCCAGATTTCCAGGCGCCCCAGTCTCCGCCGTGGCAGTTCCCGCCTGTCGGATCCCCGCCAATCCCACAGTCCCCGCCCAAGCAGTCCCCGCAGTCTCCGCCCAAGCAGTCCCCGCCCCAGCAGTCCCCGCCCATGCAGTTCCCGCCCCAGCAGTCCCCGCCCCAGCAGTCCCCGCCCCAGCAGTCCCCGCCCCAGCAGTCCCCGCCCAAACAGTCCCCTCCCAAACAGTCCCCGCCCAAGGAATCCCCGCCCAGCTCTCCACCCTTTGTTCAATCCCCTCCCAAGCAATCCCCACCCGAATGGTCGTCCCCTCCTTATTCGCCTCCGTTTTCACCTTCACCATCCTTGTCCCCGCCCCGAGCTTCCCCCCCCAAGAAGTATACGAACTCGTCTCCTCCAGCTCACCCTCCACCCTCTCTCTTCCCCGCACCATTCCCGCCGTCCTCGAATGCTCCTCCTCCCACCTTCGCTGAGCCCCCTTCAGCTCTCCCTCCTGACGCACCCCCTCCGGAATTTCCGCCTCCTTTACTTAGCCCTCCGCCGCCAAAGCCCCGATTGAGCCCCCCCCCGCCCCCACCGAGCCCGTCTCCGCCTCCGCCAGTCCCCCCCCCTGCACCTGCTCCTGTTCCCGCGCCCGCGCCCGCGCCATCGGCACTCGTCGATGCCCCCGCTCCAGAGCCCGCCGCTCCGCCTCCGCTTTTCTTTCCACCGCCTGTGCCCCTTAGCCCGCCCCCCCATCCCCCGCCAACCCCTCCTCCTATGCCGCCAAAGGCCCCCACTCTGCCACTCTCTCCTGGCTCCCTCTTCCCCAATTCGTCTGTCGCGCCGCCTGTGTACTTCCCCCCTTCTCCGAAGCCCCCCCCGCCCCCCCCGGCGCAGCCCCCGTCCCCCCCACCTTTTGGCCCATCTCCCCCGCCCCCTCCTGCGCCTCCCCCACCGCCGCCTATCATCATTCTGCCCTCTGATGATGGATCAACAACGGGGACCAGCAGCGGAGGTATGAGCACTGCTGCTCTGGCAGGGACGATTATTGGAGTGGTGCTGGGTGTGCCGCTGCTGGCTGGAGGAGTGTGGATGGGAGTGCAATGGATTCAAACTAAACATGCTGGAGCGGCCGCTGTCAAAACTGCAGCACCTGGGCCAGGGTAGCACATAGCTTACTGTGAGAGGAGTTGATGGATAGAGTTGCTAGAGGCTGTGGCATTGGGAAGATTCTGTCTGTTTAGTGTTGCAGTAGGTCATTCAGTGGTAAACTAATAATATGGTGCGGTATTTATGACCTCAAGCTGCAAATGGTGATGGAGTGCATGTGTTGTGTGGTGCTTGGGCTACTTTGTTCTACCAACATGTCCACCAATCAGTGGTCTGATATGATTGCCATATTTGAAGCCATGACAAAAGACATGTGGTACTCCAAGGCCAGGGTTCAGCTGACAGTTCCCTTACCTACTTTTTTTGCTTATGTACAATTTTCCAGGTTACCCCCAAATTTGTACCGGTAATATGCTTCCATTACAGTATGCGTGCAGTTGGGCAAGAGGATGAGTATTGCGCTATCGGGGCAAGGAAGAGATACAATGCGACCGAATGCATGAGTGAACATCAAATAGAAAAAAACCATTGTTGTAAGCAAGAAGGAATTTTGAATTTTATTACCCAATTTTAGTACGGTAGGTGTAGCAAGAAAGTGCCAAAGCCTCTACAGTCACCAACCATACTTGGTGTGTGTTTCGAGCTTTTTGGTTCCTCGTGACAATTTGGAATGTGCTGGGCTGGTCATATGCCGCCTGCTTCTCAAGTGCTTTGCGATCTCCAGGATCTCCATAGTCGCAGCGTTGACTAGGCCACGCATTGCTCGATAATGGCTCCGGATTCGCCGCCTTGGTCGTCTGTCGATTGCAATTAAGGACGTCTCTAGTTTTACTGTGCGGTTGTTGAGGATAGGGAATAATGACAAGTGAGCTGCTGACCAACCTCTTTCACATTGTAAGGATTCTGCGCTTGTTAGTGGCACTCACCGATACAGTACGCGTCAGAGGCGAACAAAGGCGCGTCAACTTGAATAAACGAACTTCGTTTCCGTCATGCCGTTTCCCTCTTTCAACCTGTTGTCAGCCGCGTCATATGGCGCTTCCAGTCACTCATGCTCATTGCGATTCCTTTGGTACTGAGTGGAAGCAATTTAAAAGAAGGACTTTCCCTTGTAGGATTCATTTATTTAGATGCACACCGCTAGCTTCGTCTGCTTCCGCCATTGCTCCACCAGCTCCAATCCGTCTCTCGCTCGTTCTCTCTCGCTCGCTTTCCACCCCCCATGCTCGCCTGTTTTGACCCGCCAGGATAGCCCCGCCCACGTGTATTGGAAGCAATGGCGTTTCATTCCCCGCGCTGCTCCCCGCGTCTCCCCTTCGCGCCCCTCCGCATCCGCCGCCGCGAAGCGGACTCCACGCGGCACCCCTCGTGCCGCCTCCGCCGCTGCTCGCGCGGAAGAAGCTGAGGGGGGCGGGCGGAAATGGCGAAGCGGAGGCGGAGAGGGAGCGGGGGAGGGGGTGGATCGCACGCTGGCGGCGGTGCGGGCGGCGGTGAGGTGGCAGCAGTGGTGGAGGGCGAAGGGGATGATGGCGGTGTGCTGCTGGGGCGAGACGAGAGGCGCAGGTGGCGCGCAGTGGGACCCGCGCGTGTGGGTCTTCTGCTCCAACCCCACCTTCTCCTCAGGCCCCCGCCCCTCCTCGCGCCACCAGCACCAGCACCAGCACCAGCACCACCACCGGACACGTGGGCGGTCAGGCCGCCGGGTGGGAGGAAAGGCCGGGGCAGCGGCAGCAGTGCGGAAGGCAGGAAGAGGAGGCGGCGGGAAGGTGTTTAAGAAGAGGCGGAGTGAGGCAGCGGCAAGCGAGGACGGATGGGATGGTGACGGCCTTGCCATGAAACCCACTTGTATGGCCTCCCTCCCTCCCCCTCCACCTCCTTTTTCCACTCCTCTCGCTTGCTCTCTCGTTTTTTCTCTGTTCTCCTTTGCTCCGCGTCTTCTGCTTCTCTGCATCTCCTCTCCCTCGCCTCTCCACTCCCTTTCCTCTCGTCTCCCCCCTCTACCCTCTCTCACCCAGCAACTTACACTCTTCCCAAACACCCCCCAACACTCCCCCTCTCCTCCCCCTCCTCCCCCCCTTCCGCCCCCCTCCTTCCCCACCCCAGTGGCAGCATGGGGCTACTGGGCGGCGGATGGCGCGTGTGTGTCGTTCCGCTTGCACAAGCTGCCCACTCGCCTCAGGCGCGCGCACAGGGTGGCTGCAGTGAGGCGCAAGGGCAAGGCACGCGGGGGGATTGCTGGAAGGCGCATGAAGGCGGGCACTGCGCCTGGGACGGGGGTGAAGGGCGGAGGGCGCGGCAGTGGGTTGCGGAAGAGAGGGCGGGGTGGTGGAGGACGTGGGGGTGGCGGGGAGAGGACGGCTAAACGCGCGCGCATGCAGGCGGAAGGGGGTTCGGAGGGACTTGCAGGGACTCCCAGAGGGAAGGCAGGGCGGGAGGAAAAAGGGGTGGCTAGCAGGCGAGGTGGGACAAGAGGCGTGCGCGGGAAGGGCAGAGGGGGAGGCAGACAGGCGGGAAAGCCGGGGGAGCGAAGGCGGGCAGCAGGGGGGAAGCGGACGGGGAGGAGGAGGGTGGGTGTGGGCGGAGTGAAGCGGGCGCAGAGGAGGAAGAGAGTGGTGGTGATGGGTGGGGTAGGGCATGAGGAGGTGCTGTACTGGCTGTGCGAGGCGCTGAGGCAGAGAGTGGCGCGGTGAGTCATAGCATATGGTGAACCAGCTTGTGCTGTCGTGTGTGCTCTGCTCTTCCCTCCTGTGACTGCTTCCCACTACTAGTCCAGTCCAGATATGTCCTCACTCATCTTTCTCTCCCCGCCTTCGTATGTTCCCCTTTTTCTCCACCTTCCCTCGATTCACTTTCTTCTTTTGCGTGTGTCGCAACTCCCATCCCATTGGTGTGCTATCTGTGTCGTCCTCTCTCCCCCCCCAAACCCTCGTCTGTCCCGTGTGCCATGGGTCGCCAGGGCGTTCGAGGCAGCAGGCTATGTGGAGTTCGATGGGGTCTTTGTCAAGCCCACCACCACACGCAGGTACGCGTGCGCTCAGAACCCTCATGTCATGCCATGCCATGCCATGCCATGCCATTCCACCTCACCCCATCCCATCCCACCCCATCCCAGGTCACCGCCATGATGGACCCACCCATCCATCCTTGCTCCTCTGCATGGTCCCCACCCGCCGTTTTCGTCCCTAGCGTCCCTGTGGCAAGGCAGTTTTCTTGAGGCGCCTGGAGCCCCTGTCGTGCTGTGTGTCTGTGTGCAGCCAAGCCAGCCATGCAGCGGCCATTGCATGTGAAGTGCGTGTGCGCCCCTCCGCTTTTGGTCTCCTGCTCCACACACACGTCTCCACCAGGTAATCTCACCTCACCTCGCCCCCTCTCACCTCATTCCTCTCCTCACCTCTCCTCATCGTTCACACCAGCCAGCCAACCCCCATTAGTCGGATTGTACACCAGCAGCCAGCCATCACTTCCCCACTTCTTCCATTCTCACCCTAACCTACCCGAAATCCTGTACCCGAAACCCCTGAATCTTCTCCTCCTCTTGCTGTGATGCATGTGGCCCATGTTATGGTGTGGTGTGGTGGACTGTTGCACCTGCTGCCAGGTCGTTGCGTGCATTGACTCCTGCTGACTTCTCACAGCAACGACCCCATGGCTCCGCGTTACCAGGTGAGGCAATGGTGCTGCCACGTGAGGCAATGGCGCTGCCACGTGAGGCAATGGCGCTGCCACAAACCGTGTGCGATGAAAAAGTGCCAGCATACACATGCCGTGCATCAATCGTGGCGCCGTCAACAGTGACATGCTCGCTCTCCCCGCTGCAACTCTTCCCAATCCCTCTTTCCACGCCCAGCCCACCATCCACCTATGCTCTGATCCCCTTCCATACTCAAGCCCCGCGCTTCCCCTCGCTTCTGCCCCCCTCCCCCCATGCCAGTGCTGCTGGCGCCAGCAGCGTGGCCTGCCCTGGTCCATCGCCCCACGCCCGCTCGCCTCATCCGCTTCCTGCGCCGCTGGCGCGTGGAGCAGCACTTGAGGCGCACACAGGGAAGAGAGGCGCGAAGGGGGGTGAGGGCAGGGGCAGTGCGGTCGAAGCAGGGGAGAACGGCGGGACGGGGGGTAAGGAGGGGGACAGGGAAGGCGAAGCAGAGGAGGAGTGCTGTGGGCGTGAGCGGGCAGAAGAGGAAAGGGAGGAAGGGGAAAGCGGGAGTGCGCGTGGGGAAGGGAAAGAGGGGTGGGAAGAGAGCAGCTGTTGGTGAAGGCCGGAAGGTTACGGGTGGTGAGAAAAAGAAAAAGAAGGGAAAGATGGTAGGGAAGAAGAAGCTAGTTAAGGCAGGAGGAAAGAAGGGAAAGGTGGTAGGGAAGAAAAACCCAGTTAAAACAGGAGGAAAGAAAATGAAGGGAAAGGTGTTAGGGAAGGGCGTCGGAGTAGCGAGGAAGAAGGCAGGTGAAGCAAGGGGGAGGAAGATAAAAGGAAAACCAGGACGGGCGAAGAATCAATTGTTGGCTGAGAGCAAGGGGAGGAAGAAAGTAGGCGTGAGGAAGAAGAAGGAGGAGGGGGGCCGGGCAAGAAATAAAGTGGTGGTTGCGAGGAAGGGGAGGAAGAAAGGTGCGGAAGGACTGAAGAAGAAGGTGACTTTTGTTGGTGTGCCCAGTCGGAAGGTGGCGCCATGGAAGAAGGGCACACGACGAGTGAAGCCAGTGCACACGATGTGAGTGCATGCATTGGGATTGGAACATACGGCTGGGGGGAATGGCAGGAATGTGAGTAGACTGTACGGTATGGGAAAGTGCATGTGTGCATGTCCTTAGAATCAGATGTTGTATGGTTGATCACCAATGTGACATGGTGAAGACCCTTCATGGTGATGGCATGAGCGGATATGACAGTCAAGTGATAACAGGGGCATATGCATTGTACTTGCACCGCGTGCTGTGTGGTGACAAGTCATTGCCCTACTCTCCCAAACGGTCCTTTGTATTGATTCAGGCAGGGTACAGACATGCAGTTTTATCCGATGATACCCATTAATCCCATCTACTCTCCCTCTCTTACTCTCCCTCTCTCTTTCTCTCCCTCTCTCTCCCTCTCCCTCCCTCTGTCAACCCCCCCTTTCCCCATGGTCCTCTTTTTCCAGTGGCAAGTGGCATAAGCTGCTCGCAAGGCATCCACCCGCCGCCCGCCTCCCTCCAGCCATCTCTGCCGCCCTGCAGCCGCCCCTGCCGCCCGCTGCCGGGCTGCCCACATTCGTGGAGGTGGAGCTGTTGGTGCCGGTGGTGGGCAGGCAGGGCCGCATGAAACGGCCGGGGAGGGGTGCAAGGGGTGTGGGCCGGGCGAGGGGTTTATATGAGAGAGGAACAGGCAGGGGGGCGGATGGTGGGAGAAATATGGTAGGTGGCGAGGGGGATGGAGGTGGGATGGGCGAGGGAGGGCGGAAAAAGGGAGAAGGGGAAGGGGAGGAAACCTTGAGGGGTGGTGGGGCAGCGGGGAGTGGTGGCAGCGGGCAGGCAGGGCAAGCAAGAGGTGGGGAGAGGGAACATCCGGATGATGTGTCTGGATCAGGGCACGAGAAGAAGGGCAAGGGACGAGGAGGCCAGGCGGGCACAGAGGGAGGGAGTGGCGCAGTGCATGTGCGCGGGGGGCAGGAGGGAGTGTTGCGCGTGCGGTTGCTGGTGGACTCGCGCCTCGCCATGCTGCCCCTCTTCCACCCGCCTCCTCTGCACCTCCTTTCCTCTCGGTCCGTTCCCTCTCCTGCCCCTCACTCATGAGTTCAGCGTCTTCATCTCACCTGTGCTGTTATGCCATGGCAACTCGTGCCTGCCATGCCACCATCTGCCTGCTCCCACTGCACATCCAAACATCGCGATGACGCATGGCTCGATGCAATGCAGCATCTTCCCGGTCTCTTGATGGGAAGCTGTTGCATCGGGCCACGTGTCCATGTTCTCTTTATACTTGCTCATCCCCTTGCCCTGCTCCTTCGATCTTCTCCCTTGTATCTCTATCTCTCCTCCTCCCTTCTTCCCCTCACCACAGCGTGCCTTTCCTCCCCTCCCCGCTCCCTCCCCTCTACAGCATCCGTCAACTGCTCCCCGCGCACCAGCCATCGCTGCTGCCCTCGGCACCCAACCCACATCTCCCCTCTCGCCAACCACGCCCCTCCACTCTCCCTACCCACACTCCCGCCACTGCTGCGCCTCTTACCGCTGCACCCTCTCTCCACCCGGCCCCTCCCTCCCACCATCCTGCCGCTTCCATCCCCTCCGCCTCTTTTCCGCCATCGCCACCGCTCTCCTCGCTCCCGCCCTCATTCCCCCTCGCACTGCCTCATCGCCTCGAGCTCGCAGCACCTCTCTCCTTCCTCCGAATGCTGCCCAGGTAACGCCCTCTGCCCACTAAACCCCCTCTCTTTCCCCCCACCCCCCACTCCCCCATACACTCCTCCGCCCGTCCTGTACCCTCCGAACCTAGATACATGGGTGCCTGCACTCACTGCACTCACTGCATTCTCTGTGCATCGTGTCTCTTTTTGTTCCTCGCAACACCCCTTCTCCCTAATCACTCTCCTTGTGCGTTCGTCTGCCCCTTCATCCCCATGCCCCCATCACAGGCCACCTCAACCCAAGCCATCCCCCCGTCCCCTCGCTCCGCCACCACCCACCCCTCACCACTCCCCTTCCCCTCCTCCCTCGCCTCACCCCACCACTCCTGCCTCCCCTCCCCCTGCGCCCGCGCCTCCCCCTGTCCCCTCCGCTGCTGCTGAAGCTGCCACTGCCGCTAAGGAAGGGCAGGAGGGGGGTGAGCAAGGCAGGGAGGCGGAAGGGGGGCGGAGTGGCAAGTCAATGGGCACGTGGCAGGTGGTGGCGGTGGGGCGGGGGGAAGCGGAGGGAGGTGGTGATGGCAGGGATGGGGAGAGTGGGTCTCAGGCACTGGCGAACAGGGACGAGGATGGGCAGGTGAGAGGCATGGGGCATGGGGCATGGGACATGGGGCATGGGACATGGGGCATGGGGCATGGGGCATGGGGCATGGGGCATGGGGCATGGGACATGGGGCATGGGACATGGGTAACTGGTTGTGGTTGCTAGCTGCATGGCGTATGGGCATATGTGCATTGTTGCTGGTTGCTGGTAGCTGAGTGTGTGCATGTGCTTGTGCATACTAGCCAGCCACCTCCACCGTCTCTCGTCTGCACACTTTCCCTCACCACTCCTCCTCTCCCCTCTCCCCTCCCCTCATCTCCTCTCCTTGCCCATCCTCTCCTCTCTCCTTCTCGCCTCCTCCCCCCCGTCCCCTCCCCATCACCCACAGCAGCGCAGCAAGAGGGCGCGCACGACTCCCCCCACTATAGGCCTGGACGCCATGCGCGAGCCAGACCTCTTCTGGTCGCACCCGCTCAACGCCTGGTTCCTAGGCCCGGGAGAGGCCGGGGCCGAGCCTGGGGCCGAGGCTGGGGGCGGGGGCGGGGGCGAGGGGGCGTTGGAGGTGGTGCTGGGCGTGCAGCAGCTGGTGGCGGTGTTGGATGAGGTGGATGGGCAGGTGGTGGCGGGCATGCGCGCCCAGGGGGGCGTGGGGGCGCTGCTGGCGGAGGAAGATGGCGATGAGCAGTGGCTGGGCGAGGTGAGTGCTGCAGGGAGGTAGGGAGGGGTGCGAGGTGGAGGTGTGAGGGGGAGGGGTGATGGGGGAAGGTGCGGAGGTGGAGAGTGAGGGCTGTGAGCAGCAGATTCAGGTGAGTGCTGGGGAGATGGAGGTGTGGGTGTGATGCATGAGAGGCAAGTCACTTTGTGCACTTGCTCATGCATGTGTGACCACTGGCATCAGTGTCACTTGATGATTTAGTGGCACCTCCGTTGGTGGCCTTGCCAAGTATCAATGTCTCATACTCTCCTTCTGCCCTTCCTCCTTGCCATCACCTCCATCTGCTCTCAATCTCACCTTCCGTGCCCTCTCCCACTCCCCCCCCCGTCCCCGTCCCCCCAGCTTCCCGGGGAACCTCCTCCCACCGCTCTCCACACTGCACACCTCACCACGCACCGCGCACCACACACACGCGGCCATGACAGCACAGCATCTGCATCGCGGGCATCTCTGGCCCTGCGTGCGGGGCGCAGGGCGAGAGCCATTCGTCTGGAGCAGCGTGTGCAGAACGAAGCAGAGGTGCTGCTGCCGCCTGCGTACACTGCTGCGGCCAGCGCTGGGACAGCACACGCACGCACTGCAGGAGTAGCCGCACCGGCACAGGGGATTAGTGAACAGGCGATGGCAGGGGCAGGGGCTGTGGCAGGTGTTGGGGCAGGGGCTGTGGCAGGGGCAGGGCATGTGAACAGTGGAGCAGATGGAAGTGTGGGCGTGGAGGTGTTGAGGGAGGGGCAGGAAGCGAGGGAAGGGAATGAAGCAAGGGGGCCTGGAGGCGCAGCAAGAGACGGAGCCCCGCCGAGGCTGTACCGTAGCAGCGTTCCTGCCTTTGCCCGCCGGGTGCTGCTGTGCCCGCCAGACCCACTTGCTGCTCCTGCCCCTGTGCCCGACCACTCCCACCTTCCGTCTGCCTCAACTGCTGCCGTGCACCCTGTGGGTTCATGTTCATCCCAGCATGCCGGCTCCACGCCTGCTACCACTACCAGCAGCAGCGCCACTAGCAGCCGGCAGCGGTACGTGTATTCAGAGCTCCCACCGCCCGCCACGCCTCTTACCGCATCTCTCCCCCCATTGCCACCGCACGCAGCTTCTGCCACCGCCGCCCCCTCCTGCCCCGCCACTCCCCCTCTCTCTGATCAACCCTTGTACCGGGCGTCGTTGTTCCCGCCCCTTTCCGGGGCACCCCTGCACGCCCCTGCTGCTGCCGCTCCTCCTCCTGGCGGCATGATACACAGGCCTGGGGGGCCCGCGCCCCCTGCTGCTGCTGCTGCAATGCGTGATGTGGGGGGTAGTGGCAGTGGCAGTGGGTTTGCTGCCACTGGTGCTGGCACCGCTGCTGCTGCTGCTGCTGGGGCAGGTGGGGTTGGTGCGGCAGGGGGGCAAGGGCTGGGGGCGAGCGATGGTGCGAGGGAGAGCAAAGGGTTGCCGCCCTGCACGCCTTATGAGCTGGTGCCTGCTGTGGTGTTGACTGGGCCGGGAGGTGGGGTTGACACGGATGTTGATGGTATGAAAGTGGAAGGGGTGGTGGTGAGCGGGGAGCGGATGGGCGTCACTGGGGAAAGGCTTGTTATGAAAGCGGAGGAAGGGAAGGGGAGGGATGCGAGGGAGGGTTTGAAAGGAAGACTGAAGAAGGGCGAGCAGAGGCCAGCTGAGGCGGGGAGGAAGCGTAAATTCGTGAGGTTTGTGGGAGTTGACGGGGATGAGGAGGCGGATGCTGATAAAGATGGTGGGACGGCGAAGCGGCAAATGAGGCGCACTCAAGGAGGCAGTTTGAGCATGGTGAAGAGAGAAGTGGATGGCCCGGTGGTAGGGACGCAGACGGTGACGAAAGGGCGGCTGTCACAGGTGCAAGGGAAGTCGACGGGGAAGAAGGGTGGGAAGGTGGGCAAGACAGGGAAGGCGGCACGTGCTGTGCGAGAGGGGAAGGTGGGTGGTGTTGGGGATGGAGTGACGGGAGGACGAGGTGTTGCGAGCTCGGTCAAGGTGGGTAGCGCGGATGATAGGAAGGTGACTGGAGTCAAGGTTGGGGAGAGTAGGAAGGTGAAGGTGAAGGGGAAAGGGGAGGTGAAGGGGAAGAGGAAGGGGGAGGGGAGAGGGGAGGTGAAGGGGGAGAAGAAGGGGAAGGTGAACGGGCAGGGGAAGGGGAAGGTGAAGGGAAAAGGGAAGGGGGAGGTAAAGGTGAAGGGGAAGAGGAAGGGGGAGGTGAAGAGGAAGGGGGAGGTGAAGAGGAAGGGGGAGGTGAAGAGGAATGGGGAGGTGAAGGGGAAGGAGAAGGTGAAGGGGAAGGATAAGGGGGAGGTGAAGGGGGAGGGGAAGGTGAAGGGGGAGATGAAGGGGAAGGGGAAGGTGAAGGGGAAGGATAAGGGGAAGGGGGAGGTGAAGGGGAAGGGTAAAAAGGTGGTGAAGGGGAAGGGGAAAGGGGTGGTGAAGGGGAAGGGGAAAGTGAAGAAAAAGGTCAAGGGGGAGATTAAGGGGAAGCGGAAGGTGAAGGGGAAGGGGAAGGTTAAGGGACCAAAGACGAAGGTGCGTGGTGTTGGGGATACATGCAAGCGCGTTGTGAAGAAGAAGAGGATGAAAAGCGTCAAGGGGCGGCACAATGGCGAGCTTGTAAGACGCCAGGCGGTGAAGGGCGGTGGAGTGCGGTTGAAGAGGAAACTGGCACACAAAGGGAGAGGAAAGCAGCAGAGGGGAGGTCGAATGGTGCGGCGATGGCTGCTGGGGGCGGAAGTGAGTGTGGGGCGGTGTGGGGGGGACAGCAGGGAGGAGTGGGAAGCGATGCCTGTACTGGGGCTGCGGGAAGAGATGAGCGTGATCAAGCTCTTGCTCTCTCATCCGCTCGCCCAGACTAAAGGCAACGACGATGTGTGTGCGTGCAGTAGGGTTGGTGGGACGACTGGCAGCATGGCACACTCGCTGGGGCCCAGTGTGCAGGTGGCGAATGCACAAGGTGCTGCTGCTTCTTCTGCAGTGGAAGGAGCAGCAGCTGCCGCTACTCATGCTGCTCCTGTTGTTGTTCCCGGTGGTGTTGGTGGTGCTGCTGCACCTGCTCCTGCTTCTGCTGCTGCTGCTTCTGCTGCTGCTGCTGCTGCTGCTGCTGATGCGGTGCCAGCACCAGAGCAGCCGTCCCATCCAGCCCCTGCTTATGATTCCACAGCAGCAGAAGCACAGCAACCACCGAACACCACACACAACCCCTCCACCACCCCAGCATCCCTGCACCCACCATCTGAACCCCCATCAGCAGCAGCAGCAGCAGCAGCAGCAGCAGTGGTGCCGTGTGCCGTGGTGCGGCAGGCAGAGGCTCTCAGGGACCCCTCTCTGGACACGGCTCTACTTGCAGCAGCACACGGCAGGTGTCCCTGGTGTGCGCGCTGCTTGCCCTCTCCCCTCACCGCCTTTTCTGCGTCAACCCAGCAGCAGCGCCAGGGCTTGTGGTCCGGCACACATGGGGAATCGCCGCTGCTCGCCCTCTGTGGGGATGCTGCTGTGGTTGCTGCTGGTGCTGGTGGCAGTGGTGCTGGTAGCAATGGAAGCAGCAGCAGCAGCAGCAGCAGCAGCAGCAGCAGCAGCAGCAGCAGCAGCAGCAGCAGTGCGGGGCAGCGTATCCTTGCCAGCCTGCAGGGACCTGTGAGTGACATAGCTTACGGTGGGCTGGGCTCTTGTGCCTCACACATTTCTCTGCTCGAAGGGTCTGGGGCTTGGGATAGGAAGGGCTGCAAAGTGCTGGGGGGAGGTTCTGCTTTCCTTTCTCTTCCTGATCTCTGCTGCGCCTCACGTTCCACCTCTCTGATTCTCTCTCCTTAGCCACGCCCCCTCACCCCGCCTCCGTGAATATGCACAAGTACATTTCTGTATGGTAACTCTTGAGGCGGCTCAAAATGCATATGCATATGTTAAGACGTATCTCCTTGCATGTGTGCTTGTCTGCTTCCTCCCACCGTCACCCCCACAGCTGCCATCACCGCTGACCGCTGCGCTGCTGGCGGGGGAAGTGAAGTCGCTCCTCCTCGCTGCCTTTGGCTCTCGTCGCCTCACCGGCCCACTCTCCCTCCCCGCCCTCGCTGCTCCCACCCGCCCCACGCCCCCCGTCCCCACCCCCACATCTTCCCCCGCCGCCTCCCCCTCTCCTACCCCCACTCCCCCCGCTCCCCCCGCACCCTCCACCGCCATGAAGCCACCTTCCCCTAGATGTCAACCCCAATCCACGCCTGCTAGCGCTGGTGCTGCAGCAAAGGTGGCGGAGGAGGTGCAGGGAGAAAAGGTTGTGGGGGGTGGAGGAATGGAAAAAGCGGCAGTGGCAGAGAGTCCTATGGGAAAGGCAGGGGGTGGCGCAAGTGATGTGGGGAAGGGTGGGGTGGATGGGGGGGGGGATGTTGGGCAGCAGGGAAGGGGTGGGGTTGGGGATGCGAGAGTGAGAGAGGAGGTGGAAGAGGGAGAGGCTGTGGAGATGGAGGAAGGGGAGGCGAGGGAGGAGGGGGCCTTGGAGGAGGGTGAAGCAGTGGAGGTTGAGAGGAGGCGGATGGGAGAAGAGGGGGGGAGCAGGGGCGCACGGGGAGTGAGGTGGGAGGGGGTGAAGGGCGGGGGTGGTGAGGAGGGGAGGGTCGGGAGCAAGGGGGTGAAGGAGGAGGGTGAGGCAGGGGTGGTGGGTACAACGACCGGTGCGAGTGGAGGGGTGGCGGAGGGTAAGGGCGTGGGTGCACATGGGGAGGAGGAGGAGCGGGAAAGGGAGAAGAGGAGTGGCACAGGCGGAGGGGTGGAGGCAGAGGGCGGTAAGGAGGTGGACGGGAGGAAGAAGACGCAAGGGAGTAAGGACGCGGAAGAGAGTAAGGAGGTGGAGGGTGAGGAGGAGGAGGCACGGAGCAGAGTGCGGAGTGTGGTGGCGCTGTGTCCGCCAGCAGTGCTGGTGGGGTATCAGGACGACTGGCTGGCCACGTCGCCCTCGCTGCTCCGCCTCTGGGACAAGGCGCCCTTTGAACCCTACTGCCTGCCTAAACCCGTACGCCCTGTCACGCCTCTCACATGCACACCCACCCACCCTCCTGCGCTCCTGTGCTCCTTTTCTGTACTACTTATCACACCCCGCGGTCTCTTGCTCCTCTGTTCCTGACTGGCCCCAAGGGTTCGTTCCTCATACTTTCGTCCCCCAACCCCCCTCCCCCACGCATCCACTCTCTCGCCTTCCCTTACAGCAGCTTCGTCCCTTTTCCACGTTTATCGCCATCCCTCCCTCCCTGCAAGTCCCACCCCACCCCTTCAACTCCCCATCCCTTCAACTCCACTCCCCACCACACCCCGTCAACCCCCCCTTGTCACCCCCACAACGCATTGTGCCGTGGCAGCTATCGGTGCTGGCCATCTGCCCCGCGCTGCCTGCCCTCGCTCGCCCCCTCCGCTCCTTCCTCTCCGACCTTGCTTCAGGTGATGCCCGCTCTCGCCATCTCTCACTCCTCCCTACGCTCCACACCCTCTATTCAACCTCTCTTACCTCCCTTCCTACTCTCCATCCGCCCTGTACCCCCACGGCCATGTTGTTTCTAAGTCAACTAATGAATAACGTGGCAGTGTGATGTGATATTTGTGCGCCTCGCCTACAACCAATTGACTCCGTCCATCCAACCACCACCCCACACTGCATTCCCCTCTTAACACTCATCGAATCTCGCTTCACCGTTCCGCACCGCGTCCTTCCCCTCCCCGCGCGCCCACTACAGTGTACGAGGCATGTTCCCTGGGCACCTTCTCCCCGCTGCTGCCGCTCTCCCCTGCCCCCGACCACCACCACCCCCCGGGCATGCTACCAGTGCCGCTGCCCCCTGCCCACCTGCCCCCGGCCCGCGCCGTGGGTGCTTTCAGTGACGCCTTGGCAGCTGCTCTCGCCAAGCTGCCTCGGACTGCCCTCTTCCCCCCCACCAACTCCACCGACCCTGACCTCTGCCCCTCCACGGTGCACCCCCTGCCCTGCCTTTCACCCCATTCTCACTCGCTCACTCAATCACTCACCGCCCTTCTGTTCAGATTGCTCGTTTCCCTCCCTTCCTCGCTCCCTCGTTTCCTCCGTCCACCCCTCTACTCTTGCTTGTCCGCGGCTGTCCCTCTCTGCCTCGCTGTCCCTCTCTGCCTCGCTGTTCCTCTCGTTCCATCGGCCCCTCTTGGCGCATGCATCTAAAGCTGAGTCGGCCTGCCTCGCTCCATGCCGCCACCTCCCCTCGTCAACCAATGAATGCATCAAACAAGTCATGCATTTTCCACTGCATTTAATTGCCACCACTGCCCAGCCTACCCAACCCTCTTCCTCCCCCTCCCCTCCTCCCCTTCCTTAAATTCGCCCCCCTTCCCCGCCTCTCCCTGGTGTGGTGCGTGCAGCTGCTCCTGCTGGTGTGCCCCTGGGCGTCCCCTGGGGCGTCCCTCTCCCTCTTCCTCCGCACTGCTGCCCACACCCACGCCCTCACGCTCGCTGCTGCCAAAGGTACCACCATTGCGTGTATGTTCGCTCTCATATGCCCCTTTGCCTCAATGCCCCCCTGTGCCTCAATGGCTACGCAGTGGATGGATGGCATGGCATACCTGCATGCCACTCACATCACTTCCCTTCATCTTCTCCTCCTGCCCACTCTACCTGATTCCATCCCTGCTCCCTCCTCTCTCCGCCTGAATTTACTCCCCAACCTTGTTATCTTCTCCCTTCCCATCCTCCTAACCCGCACGCCTCCACACCCCACTGTCCCTCCTCCCCCCACTCGTCACAGACACATCAGCGTCAGCATCACCCACAGCCGCCCATCCCACTGCTCCGCCCAGTCTCACGCTCTTCCCGCGGCCGCTCACCGTGCATCTGCTGCCCATGTCCCACGTGCTCGCCCTGTCGCACTCTGCACGCGCCAGCTCCCTCCGCCAGCTCGCCCTCTCGCTCTTCTCCAAAGTCAGACGCTCCCTCCTCCCGCTGCCACACTGCCCTGCTCACACTGACGGGGGAAATGCAGCAGCAGCAGCAGCAGGAGCAGGAGGAGGGGGAGGAGGCGGAGAAGCAGGAGCAAGAGCAGGGGCAGGGGCAAGAGCAGGAGAGGGCGTGGGAGGGATGGGGGGAAACGAAAAGGTGGTGGAGGGGAGAGGGGGGGGAGAGGGCAGCAGTCACGGCGGGACGAGTTCTGGGGTCCCAGCAGGCAGCGGGGCTAGCGGGGGGGACGTGGGTGGGGGTGTGGTGAGGAGCAGTGGTAGTGGTGGTAGCAGTGGCGGTGGTGATGGGGGCGGGGATAGGGATGTGCTAAGTGAGTTGGCGAGGAGGGGAGGGGGCGCAGGGGCTATTGGAGTGAGGGGAGGGATCATGGATCGCCTCAGCAGACAGCCCATGCAGTCGCCCGCTGCTGCAGCAGCACCAGCAGGATCGAGCATCCCAGCAGCAGCAGGCGCTGCAGCAGAGGCAGCACCTGCACACGCAGCAGCAGCAAAATCAGCAGCAGGAGGAGCAGCAGGGGGTTCTAGTAGTGGTGGTGCTGCACCAGAGGCAGACTGCAAGAGTGCGCCTGGTTCTCATCCCATGCCCGCACCCGCCCCCTCCTCCGCCCCTCCGTCCCTGGCACCCACCACCCCCTCGCTGCTCCACGAGCCGCCCTTCATCCTCGCCTCCCCTGGTTCTGCCTCTTCCTCTCTCTCCCTGCCCTTCCATTCCCGCACCCGTAGTGCTGACGGTGGGGAGCAGAGAGCAGCGAGCAGCGTGCAAGGGCAGGCGGTGGGGAGTTCAGTAGCTCCCAAGGTGGAGCAGCAGGGGAGGAGTGAGGGCAAGGCGGGATGGCCCAGGGAGAGAGTGAGCGGTCACCCTCCCGTCTCCCCGTCTCTCATTCCTGCTGCTTCTGCTTCTGCTTCTTCTGTGCCCGGGACCACAGCAGTAGGAGGCACGGCGTCGCAGCAAAGTGCAGCAGCAGCGCAAGGTGCATGGGCAGGAGGGCGTGCAGGGGTGACGGGGGCAGCACCGGCGCCCACCAGTGGAGCAGGAGTGGGGACAGGAGGGGCAGCTCCGGGGCACAAGGGACCCCTGGCGCTGCACTGCGTGTACATGTGGGGGGATGACTCTGCACCTGACACTCCTTCCGCTCCTGGTGCTTCTGGCACTGCCAGCACTTGTGGCGCGGATCACCCCTTGGGCCTCCCAAGCGCGACAGTGAAGAGAGTAAAGGGGCGTGGAGCGGGCAGCAGGGCAGGGGGGGTTGCAAGGGTGCCGTGGGTGGTGGCGGTGTGGACGGACTCCCGGGGCGAATTGCTTGAGACCCGCGTGGTGCACGGCCGGGCACATGCTGGGGCGGACGTGGAGGCTGGAGAGGGCGCGGAGGGTGGGGGGAGTGAGAAGGGAGGGGAGTCTGGGGAGGGGATGAGTGGTGGCAGGGGAGGTGTGGGTGATGGAAGGGGAGAGGGGGAGGGTGGGGATGGAGGGAGGGATGTGCGGGGTGCGGCGGAGGGCGGGGTTGGAGGTGGTGGAGAGGGAGGGAGAGGGGGTGATGGAGTGGGTGGGCGTGGGGAGGGAGGTGACGAGGAGATGAGGAGAGATGGGTGTGGCGTGGAGGGGGAGAGACAGGATGGGATGGAAGTGGATGGTGGGGCGGGCATGGGGGAAAGTGGTGGTGGTGGGGTGACAGGAGTAGCGGAAGGTAGAAATGATGGGACTGAGGGCACACCTGGAGGGACAGGGACAGCTGCAGCAGCAGAAACGGCAAGAGCATCAGCTGCAGCACCAGCAGCGGCAGCCACAAGAGGAGCAGACTCAGAACCAGCAGCAGCAGGGGCAGCAGCAGGGGCAGCAGCAGGGGAAGCAGGGGCAGCAGAAGGGGCAGCAGCAGGGGCAGCAGAAGGGGCAGCAGCAGGGCCAGCAGGAGGGGCAGCAGCAGGGGCAGCAGGAGGGGCAGCAGCAGCATCTGTGTATAAGCTTGCTGTCCAGCCGTCTCCTGCTCCCCCTGCCAATACTCCCAGGAGCAGTAGCAGTGCGCGCGGGGCAGGCACGAGGGCGTGGGTGGGGCGAATGCAGAGCGTGTTGGAGCAGGTGCTGCAGGTGGGCGTGCAAGTGGTGGCGCTGCTGCAGCACAAGGCACGCGTGCAGGCCGGCACGGATGCGGACAAGGGGCACGGGGAGGGGGGGAAGGGGAGGGAGGGCGGTGGGGAGGGAGGGGAGGAGGATTGGTGGATGGCCCAGCGGCCGATGTATGTGGTGAAGGCGGGCCAGGGAATGACACCCGCGGAGCTGCAAGGTATGGATTCACTCCATGCCATGTGCTGTCACGTGCCCCTTAAAGTCACATGCCATGTCTCTCTGCGTTGATTTGTCTCAATGCATACCATAGTAATAGAGTATGGTGTTTCATTCCCCTCCGCCCACCCAATTTAATTCCATGCCTTATGCATTTGTGCCTGTACGTGTGTGCATGTGTCTTCGCGCCTGCGCGTGCATGTGCATGTATCAGCATGGGAGCAAGCCATTTCGTCGCTCTCCTCCTCCTCCTTCCGGCCAGTTTTCTCCGCCTCTACCCGCGGCTCCACCCACCCACCACCACGCCACCCAACGTCCAGCAGCCGCACAACCCATGCAGCAGCCGGCAAGGCAACACAGGCACAGGCAGGCAGAAACACCGCACAAGGACGACCCACGGCAAGTGCTGGAAGGGCCGAGGGGAGGAAGGAGGGCTCTCTGCTTGCACAACCAGCCCCAGCCCAGCCCATGCCTGTGCGCCCACCCTCACAGCCCGCCTCTGCGTCCCTCCCCGCCCATGCGCCGGGGCACGAGGGAGAGCAGGTGCAGGGCCGGGCGTCTCAAGAAGCTGGGAGCAGCACTCCTGCTGTCGCCCCCGCTCCAGCTGCCTCTGACCCCCTCTCCCACGCCGCTGCCGTTGCAGCGGATCCCCCGCCTCACCTGTCCAGCCAGGGAGCAGGCGAGCAGGAGAAGGGACTGGAGAGCCATGGGGTGGCTGTGGGGGGTGAGGGGGCGGGTGTAGCAGAGGGGGCGCGGGAAGGGAGTGCGCGGGTGGAGGGGCACCCTGGGGTTGGGACGGTGGGAGAGAGAGTGCCGGTTGTGTGGCAGGGCATTGCAAGCGTGACCGTTGCATGGCTGCATGTGGTGCCACAGCTGCAACTCATGTCAATACCACTGCCGCCCCCATCCCCCACTCCCTCTCCTGCCCCTGCACCTGCTCCCTCTGTCCTTACCCCTTCCCTCCCTTCGCCCGCTCTCGGCCCCGCTGCCTCCCCTATTCTCTCCCCCATGCAACCACACCCATCCCGCTCCACTCCATTCCCATCCCCACTAGCCACGCGCCACACTGCCACCACCCCCACCACACTCCCCCTTCCAGAGCCCTTCTCCCCTCCCCTTGCACCCCTGCCCCCATCCTCCCGAACCACTTCCTCCCCCATCCCCCTCCATCCCCCTCCTCTCCCCCACTCGCCCTTCGCCCACGCGCCCTTCCCCCTCCGCATCCCCCATGAGCGCACACACCCCCTGCACCCGCCACTGCCCTCCTCACCCCTGCATGGGCCAGTCGCAATCCCCCCCCGGGGTCCCTTGCACCCTCCCCAGCAGCACGGGGCAGGATCTACTCTGCTGCTCGTGCCCCATGCTCCATGGATCGACCTCTCCACCCCTGCACACTCCCCCTGCAACCCACCGTACTTCCCTCCCACTCCTCTGCACCGCTTGCGACCCCCCAAGCGTGTGCGCCCTGCTCTGGGAGGGCTCCAGAAACCCAAGCGGAAGAAGCAGTGCGTGCCGTTGCTGCTACCCCCCCCACCTCCTCCCCCTTCCCCCCGCGCCCCACTCCCCCTACCCCTGCGCCCGCTTGTGGCGGCTCAAGTAACACGAGCGCTGCTGCTGCGACTGAGGCGGCAGCAGGAAGTGGGGATGAGGAAGGGGAAGCGGGGTAAGTTGATAGAAGGGGTTAAGGGAAGGACGAAAGGTGGAGTGGCAGCAGTGGGTGTGAGAGGGAGGAAAGGCAGCAGGGGTGAAGGAAGCAAGGGTGAAAGGATTAAGGGCAAGACAAGCAAGGGGAAAGCAGGTGTAGAGATTAAGACCAAATTAGGCAAGAGGAAAAGGGCTGTTGGGAGCAATGGAGAAAGGAGTAAGGGAGAAAAAGGCACGGGGAAAGCAGGTGAAGGGATCAAGGCCAAGTTAAGCAAGAGGAAACGGGTTATAGGGAGCAAGGTTGAAGGGAGCAACGATAAAGGGAACAAGGGTAAAGCGGTTAAGGACAACATGGGCAAGGGAAAAGGGGGTGAAGGGAGTAAGGGCAACGCAAGTAAGGGTAAACGGAGCACGATCAAAGGTGATGGAGTCAAGGCGAGAGGAGAGAAGGAGGTGAAGCAGGAGAAGGGGAAGGGGAAGACGAAGGAGGGTAAGAAGGAAGAGGGGAAGGAGAAGAAGGGGAAGGAGAAGAAGGGGAAGGAGAAGAAGGGGAAGGAGAAGAAAGGGAAGGAGAACAGGGGGACGAAGGAGGGGAAGGAGAAGAAGTCAGAGGGGACGTTGAAGAAAGTGAGTGTGGATGGAGTGAAAGTGAAGGGAGTCAAGGGCGTAAAAAGGCAGGGGAAGGATAAGGAGGTGGGTACAGGGAAGGTGAAGGGTGGGACGATGATGGTGAAGAAGAGTGTGACAATCGGGAAGAAAACAGGTGGTTCCAGTAAGACAAAGACAGGTGCTGCTAGTGCAAAGAAAACAGGTAAGGAGACAGGTAAAAAGACAGGTATTGATAGTGGGACGAAGACAGGTAGGGAGACAGGTATTGCCAGAGGAGAGAAAACTGGTAAGAAGATGGGTATTGATAGTGGGAAGAAGAAGAAAATAGGTAAGAAGACAGGTATTGATACTGGGAAGAAGAAGAAATTAGGAAAGACAGGTCTTAGTACTGGGAAGAAGAATCAAATAAGTAAGAAGACAGGTGTTGATAGTGGGAAGAAGAAGACAAGCCGTGCTGGTAAGAAGGTGGGCCGCAAAAGCAGCAAGGAGGGAAAACTGGTGAAGTCATTGCGGCCAAAGATAACACTGGGCAAGGCTCGGAAGGCAGCGAGGCTGGGTGTCACAGCATCACAAGTGCAGAAGGCGGCAGGCAGGCAGGCAGGCAGGGCGAGAAGCCATGGCAAGAAGGGGCGGAAAGAGGCAAGGAAGGAGTGGAGGCGAGTGTGGCGGGAGAAGATGCGCGAGGTGGGGCGTGTGGTGCGAGAGCTGACTGGTAAGGAGGACGATGGGCGCGAGGGCGTGCGTGGTGTGGCCACAGCAGTGATTCTCAGCACGGCGACACACCGAGGGTGTGCGGGAGGGGAGGGGGGGACGGCAGCAGGGGCAAGCGGTGCAGCAGCGGCATGGCTGGGGCTGGAGGGGCTATCGGTGGGAGCAGCACAGGAGGCGTTTCGGCTAGGCTTGCCCTGGCAGGGTGCGTACCAGCCTGCTGTGACTAACAGTGGATTCGTCTCCCGCTCTTCTTTCTCTGGTGGCAGTGGTGGTGGCAGTGGCGGTGGGGGCTTGGGTGCGCGGCTGGGGTCACATGGAGCAGCACATGCAGGTATCGCAGCTGCTAGCAGTGCTGCTGCTGCTTCCTATCCCCTTCTCGCCCCTGCAGCATCAGCAGCCACAGTGGGAGGTGGCGGTGTAATGGCAGGAGGGATTGGGTGTGGTGCTGGGGGAGGGGTGGTGGCTGTGACTGTTGCGGCTCACTTCACTGCAGGGCCTGCTGCTGCTGACGCACGGCAGAAGGTCGGGGAAGCGGAAGGCAAGCAGGAGGGGAGGAACGCCTCGATTCAGGACAGGAGAGGCAATCGTGTGGTGGGGAGAGGTGCTGATGAGCGACAGAGGGCGGGTGGTGGAGTGACAGACAGTGTGAGGAAAGAGGGTGACGGGCGGGAAGATGTGGGAGTGGGAGTGAAGCGAGGGAGGGAAGAGGAGGGCAGTGGGGCAGGAGGGGTGGAGCAGGGGGGAGAGGAGGGGATTGCTGGGGGTATCAGAAAGCGGCAGCGCGTGGAGGCACCAGGTGTAGGGGCAGGGGCCAGTGGTGGGGGAGGTGGGGCGAAGGAGATCAAGGTTGGGGTGAAGGAGGGCAAGGGTGGGGAGGGCAAGAGTGGGGAGGGTAGTGTAGATGCCAGTAGGGGGGAGGGTGTGGAGTGCAAGGCTGTGGAGATGGGTTCGAAGGTGCCAGGCAGTGGTGATGGCAGGGCGAGTGCAGAGCACAGAGAGGCAGCTCCAGGGACGTCTCAAAAGGCGAGTGGTGCACCGAGAGAGGCCCAGACCGGGTATGGCGGGGAGACAAGAGGGCCGGCACAGGACAAGAATGGCAGGGGCGTGGGCAGCGAGGGAGGACGGGAGGGAGAGGAACAGGGGAAACAGAAGAGCGTCACAGGCGGCAAAGGGGGTGAGAAAAAGGAAGGCGAAGTGGGTGAGAGTGAGTGGTGGGAGGCGGCAGCAGATGCGGAGGCAAGGCGGGTGGCGCAGCAGCTGGGAGCAGAGCTGCATGCGCTCTCCTGGCTGTCTGTGTCCCCTGCCAGCCCCTCCCCGCTCTCCCACCTCCCCTTCCACTTCCTTGTGGCCGCCCGCCTGCTGCTGCTGCTGCAGCACGTGCCGTGCGCTGCACCTGCGTATGTACCAAGCGGGGCGGTGTGTGGTGCTGGTGAGGAGGAGGCGGGTGTGGGTGTGGGAGGGGGGGGAGAGGGTGGTGGTGCAGCGCGTGGAGGGGAGCAGGCAGAGGAGGCAGCAAACGTGCGAGCGCACAGTCAAGGCGCATGCTTCTGAGAAAGCAAGGCATTTGTAGAAGTGAATCGTGATTCAAGTACACCTTGCTCCTCCTGCCGCGTCTCTAAGCTGCAATCTACAGCCTTCTAACATGCACGGGCGCACTAGGCTAGTCAAATCCATTATATCACGCATGAAACCAAGTTGTGCAACTGTTTTTGTCTGCCAGATCTCCGAATAATTTCTCTTATTGATACTGGTATATTGGAATTATATCGGCTCTATTCCTTCCACCGGTGGCAAGCATAAACGTGCGCTCGCTTGCCCAGCAAAGCTCTGCACGTTCTGCAGAACCAAACCATGCCCCATCCTCCAGACTTGCACATGCTAGATTACAAGTGGCCCATGCCACTCACCCCCAACACAATACCTTCTACTCTTGCTACTCTACCTATGTCCAACTTTGTCAAACGCCAACCCGTTCTGGTAGTAGTATCTCCCCATCCTGCCTTTGGCAGGTCATCTTGGCACAGGGCAGCTCATCCTGGCCTGGCACAGTCAAGAGACGATCCATTGCCGGAGCATTTGTGCGAGGTCAACGCGGCTGGACATCATGGGTTTGTTGACAGCCCACGCATCATCCCCCATGGTGCAGTGCGCCACCGCGCTGAAGAGAAACGCCTTCATCTTGCTGCCCGCCGCGTTGCGCTCCTTCACCACATCCCGCACCGTCTGCTCCATGCCGCGGCTATACCGTGCCAGAACATCCGCTGTGCTCTTTGGGCATGCCGCCACGTTGCCGCGCCGCATGCACGCACGTACGGGCGCGCCCTCGGGGATTGTTTCTGGGGCGAGGGTTTTGGCGATGCCTGAGTAGTCGAGGATGCTCTGCACGAGGAAGAGCGGCGTGCGCACAAAGTGCAGCCCGTACTGCGGGAAGAAACACTTCCATGTCTCGTTGCGCGCCGCGTAGTCTGGTGGTGGTGCAGGGAGGGGTTGGTGAGAGAGGGGGCAGGGGAGAGGGGGCGGTGGGATGGGAGGAGCGGGTTGTGAGGGGTGGGGCGAGAGAACGAGGGGGTGGAGTGGAGGTCAGGCGTTCTAGAGGAGTATGTGGGAGTAGGGGAAACGGGAAGAGCAGCAATGGTGGGAGGCCAAGAGTTGAGGAGTGATGCACATACGGGGGCATATGCATGGGCACGAGCACGAGCATGGGACGGACACTTGGCACATGTGTGATGCATGCATGCCAGCCTCCATACAGTACAGGGGATGGCAGGCCGGGGTTGCGAGTGGGTGGAGGAGCGAATGAGGTGCTGGGTGGTGTGGGACAGGAAAAGCGGAAACAGCATGGGCACGGGCATGGGCACGAGCGTGGGCACGGGCATGGGCACGAGCGTGGGCGAGGGCGAGGGACTGACACTTGGCGCAGGCGGGGTGCACTCCAGCCTCCATGTGGTGCAGGGCGAAGAGCGTCTGTATGGTGCCGCGGAAGTAGTAGTCGCCGTTCACCGCTGGACCATCTGAAGGCCGCGGGGCACACACAACACGGCACGGGACAGGCCGTTTGAATATGCGAGAAATCGCGGGTGCGAGAAAGCAGTGAGTATGAGGAGCGCACACAGGCAGTGGGCATTGTAGGGGTTGAGGGGGAGGGGCAATGGCACAGCAGGAATCCAAACAGCGGTTGAGCATAAGCGGTACGGTTTCCTGCAGCAGCCGCAGCCGCACGGCTCACCCAGGAAGACGAACCTCGCGTGCTCAGAACATGTTGCAGGATGCCTCGGGTCACAGGGAGGCACGAGGAGCCTGGGAAATATGGAGGGGTGAGTGGAGGTGGGTGGAGTGGAGTGGCGGCTCACCGAGGAAGAACCCCGCGTCCATGATGCATTTGAAGGACGGCTGCAGTGGTGTGGGCAGCATGGCGGCCACGGAGTCGCACTTCATGGCCACGGCCACCGCGCCCGCACTGCACCCCGACAGCACCACCTGCTGCGCGCCCGCCATGCCGCGCTGCTGCAGCAGGTCTGCGCGGAGGGACGCGCGGAGAGGGCGCGGGGAGCGGGGTGGGGGGTGTATGCGATGGTGATGGGCGATGGGCGATGAGGGGTGGAGAGTGGAGAGCATTAAGTGGTGAGTGCGACGATGCAATGGCGACAAGAGTCATGTGGGGGCACCTCATGGGCATTACTGCTTCCCATGCGCTCTACCAGCAGTGCGCGTGAGCATGGGATGACATGACATGGCGTGGTATGGAATCGCATGTATGCGTGCACTCATGCACCAACATCAGGCAGCAGCGCACCTTGGATGACGGCTTTCAGGATGCCCGCGCCCATGGCGTACATGGCGGCGCCGCCGCGCTTCACGGCGCCAGCGCTGCCGGCGAAGCTGGCGCCGTCGCAGTACTTGACGAGCACGACGTTCCAGTTGTAGAACAGCGGGTTCACCGTCGCGTTCGCGCTCCCGATGCCGCCCATCAGCGCCGACGCTGATCCCTGCTCGTGCCGCGTGGCGAGAGGGAGCAGGGGAAGAGAGAGTAGGGGGCGAGGGAGCAGGGGGGTTAGGTAGGAAAAGTGAAGCAAAAGGGGGGGGGGGGGGGGGGGGAGGGGAGGGGGAGTTGCTGAGAACGAGGGTGTCAACCCGTGGAGAGAGGGGGTGGAGCAGCGGAGGAGAGGGAAAGAGTGTAACGGGCGGAGGGAAATAGATCGGTGGCATATGCCTGGATGCTATCGTGGATGGATGGTGTCGTGGGCTAGTTGGTGGCACTACGAACGAGCGTGCGCTGACTCACCCCGGGCGACGCCGCTTTGCCAGGCTGGCCGGGCACGGGGTTGGGCCACGTGGTGCTGCTGCCCAGCCCCGTGGCTTTCCGCCGCACGCACCGCTGCATGTTGAAGCACCACCCCCCGCCCTGCGCGCAGGCACAACGCGGATCGCACACGCGCAGCAAGGTTAGGAGCAAAGCAGGCAGGCGCAACAAGAATGGTGTGCGGTACGGAGAGGCGATCGGATGGGAGGAAGGGCCGGCGGGGACGGCAAGGGAAACGGAATCGCTTCCATAGGGGGAGACGGGTGGCAGAACGAGCATTGAAATGCGCGGCAGCGCAACCATCCAAGTGGCGCCGAGCGCTCCGAGCAGGTGGAGACATGTGAGCGCACACGATGCACGCCGGCAGTGGCGCGCAACACACAGCACACGAGCCGCCACGCTCTCCCCCTCCCCCCACCTAACGATACCTAAACCACGCGGAGGCCACTGCTCTGCACCGTGGTGCACCTTTCCCCACCCTCCCATCGCTCGGCGCAATCGCCACCCTCTGTGAGTGGAAGTTGTTTCTTGGAGCTCTCGAGGAACTGTGATCCGTTGAAGGAAACCACGGGGAGGCTTCGATCCCTCGTGCCGAGGCCGCCCTCGCCCCGCCCTCACCTTGCCCTCCGCCCCGCCCTGTGCCCCACCCGCGCCCCGCCCTGCGCACACGCACCTCCAGAGTGATGAGCCACCGCTTGCTGCCCGTGCCGGTTCCGCGCTGATGGTAGTACCCGGCGGGGCTGGAGGCGGGGGAGGGGGGAAAGCGGGGTAGGGGGCGGGGAAGAAGGAGAGGTAAGGTCAAAGGCTATCGGGAGAGCGACACGTGCGTCGCTTTCGGCGCAAAAGCGGTTGCGCGCAACGGCCGTTTCGTAAGGGCTTTTTGAGACGTTTCAAAGTGGGTGGTCGCGGCGGCGACGCGCGGCAGCTGCGTACCTGCCGTCGAGGCATCGCGGGGCAGAGATGTTCGCAGTGCTCAACAGCACCTTCACCGTATCCATGCTGCTCGCCTGCGTGCCGCCCACCCCTCGAGCCACCTTCCCCGTATCGCTCGACCCGCTCGATCCGCTCGACCCACTTCCCTTACTGTTTCCGCTACCCTTGCTGCTTCCGCTACTTCCACTACTTCCGCTACTTCCGCTCTTTCCGCTGCTTCCGCTACTTCCGCTCTTTCCGCTGCTTCCGCTACTCCCGCTCTTTCCGCTGCTTTCACTGCTTCCGCTCTTTCCGCTGCTTCCGCTACTCCCGTCGTTTCCGCTGCTTCCGCCGCTGTCCGTCGCGGGCGACTTGTGGTGGCCTTTACCGGCCGAGTGGTGTCCGCCTTTTTCCCCGTGATGCCCGCCACTGCTCGGCGGAGACGGAGTCCCGTTCGCTATGCGCGTCTGCACTGTGGGGCTTGGGGAAGATGGCGGAGCCGGCGCAGTTGGCGGAGATGGGGGAGATCTAGGAGGGTTACTGGGAGGAGGCGGGGAGGTGGATCTGTCAAGCGCGGGTGCCCGAAGCAGCTGCGCGGAAAGTTCAACGTCGCCATGGCTCGCGTCGGACGGGGAACTATCTGAATTCTGTGGTGTTGCGCTGGGCTCCACATTGAACAGCGCGGCTTCGCTCCGCTCCGCCAGTTGGCGAGTGGGGGCAGTTCGGCGGGCACTGGCGGAACGGTGCGTCACTCCCCATGCACGCACGACGTCCGCCGGGCCCGCGCCTACTGCTGGCGCTGCTAGGCGTCGCGGGGAGGTGCGCTTCGGCGTAATGAGATGGGCATTGACGGGCGGAAGAAGGCGAAGGGATAAGGACTGGCGCGAGTGGTCGGCTATGTGGGCGGCGCATGCTAGGGAGATAGGAAAGACCGATTTAAATATGATGGCGGTGAAGAGGAAGAGGAAAGAGGCGGAAATCAACGCATGTTGTGTTGCGCGAGGAGGGGAAGCAGGACGCGGCTGTATTTGCGCAGCACACGTTCTTGTGCTTACAGCTTCTCTCCCTGACACCGCCGTTCGGAACGGCCGAGAAGTCCGGCCAGCAGGAGGAGGCGGCATTACTAAAGTATCCCTAACGGGATATTCTTTCGATCGAGCTTGGAGGCATCTGAATGTCAACGAGTCTTCGCTGGTAATGGCTGTAGTCTAACAACTAGGGTGGAGGGAACTGCCAAGCACACCCGACGCTCGGACGACCAGTGGTGCCTCTAATCGAGGTTTCTATGGAAGCCCCGCGTCAGCGATCGATAACAGTTCTCGAATAGAGGTGCTGACCAATGCTTCCGTAGTTATTCGTAGCAGTGGTACGTCTGCGAAACGACGGGGTTGATAGGCCACAAAAAGTGCTACTTTGGAACACGTGCGGCCTGGTTGAGAGAAGATTCAAGTACCGCGAGCGGCAATGTGCAATTCATTCAACCCCACATGAGGGGGTCCAAAGTTTAGGCATTGAAATCCAACCCTGACGCACACAGCGATTCCTATCGCGGCACGGTATATCTTGTGTGCGTGGAAAGCTGCACTGCCGGGAAATCGTCGTTCACTACTGAATTATCGCAGGTTTCGTCAAGAGTGCGGTCCGCACGGGCCAGGCAGGTCGCCTGACTGGGAAAGTGAACCCTTGCGACGACAGAGCTGTGGGCGACAACAAGCTGACAAGACATCCCCAAAGCTGGCCAAGTCGCACTCGCTCTCAACACAATTCAGCTCGTATATTGCCGCCACTTCAGCTTGGTCGGCAAGTTGGAATATCTCATGCAATATACAGAGTCAAAGTGTGAACAAGGGAAATACAAGAATTTCAATAACCCTGGTTCTGAACTGAATAATAGGTCGTTGTTGTAATGTATAGATGCATGAAAAACGCAACAGAATCATGCTAAACCATGAGATATACTTTTCTAGTAATTCTCATAACATAAAATATATGATATTACTAATATATCATTAATAGCATCAGATTGTTTATACATAGATGAATGCATAGGTATATATAATAGCTAATTTGAAGATTTATTTCCTCATTAGAATGAATAGTATGATGATAATATCCCTACACTAATGGCAAAAGAAGGTGTCATAGATGTGTTGCAATCTTACTCACATTTTAAGTGTGTATGGACTTCATGGTAAGAACACAGTAGGTTTGAATGGACAATCTCGTGTTATCGCGGATGGTCTTTGCAACCCGAAGTTGTTTTGCGCGGTTGGGCTTTGCCGCCTAAAAAAACTCCTCCCGTTGTGGTGTCTGCGCTGCGCTGCGAGTCGCGATGCGATGCTGTCACCTCCTCGCATCAATTTGGCATGTGCGCATGGAACAGCCGCCAGCCCAACAAGACCCCGCCGTGGATCTCCACAGCTGATGGATCTCCTGACGACGCCATCACATGCCGTTGCGTGAGACAGCAACTGAAAAAGCACGAGACAGGGCACTGGTGAGCATCATCAGCCACCGGCACGAGATGGCGACTGCGCGAACATTTGGAACTACCCATCCGGAAGCCACCCACTCGTAGGTAGGCGTACATTCCACAATAACGTGTCCAGTGTTAGTGTTCGCGTGCAAACTCTGATGCTTCTGTCGTTAAATTTACTAGTTTAGATTCGCAGCGCCAGCAATGGCGGCCAAAGTGCGTCATCTCGTCGTTACCATTCCCCTGCTGCTCCTCCTCGTATCGGTTGTCCTTGCCGCCAACAATCCGTCCACCACAAGGCCTGTTGCCAGACGCGCCAGCAATCGTACGGCAGCTGCGCGCCGCTCTCCACCGGTGCCACCCGCGGGAAGCCCGGCGGGCCGATCGAAGCAACGGGGAAGCACGGCGCGCACGCCCGCTCCTCCCACGAGGAAGCGCACAAGCCCGTCGACTGGCACTCCGACGCGGAGCCCCGTAGCGGCCAAGGGAGGGCGCAAGGTGCGCGTTCCGCGGGCTGGTACGACAGCACCGAGCAGCAGCCTGAGCCTGATCAAGCTGCCCAATAACCGCTACAACGCCAAGTGCCTAGATGGCAGGTGAGCCAGGCGCCGCGGCCAGCACGGAGCCGTTTAGCAATTTGAGCTTCCAGCTTCTAGCTCGCTTCCTAGTAGAATCCTCAGCCCAGAATTTTCACGCGGTGTTTTCTCGTCGCGCTGAAGCTTCCACCCGAAGCGACAATCAAGCAATCTCGTTTGTACCATTACGAGTCCTCGTCTTCGCTTCTACCGTCCTCGCTTCACCTTCCAATTCCTTCCCTGAATCTTTCCCCTCCCCGCCTCTCCCTGCTTTCCCCCCAATCAGCCCGCCCACGTATTACCTGCGCACGGGGTACGGCTCGGGCGCGAGCTCGTGGGTGATCTACCTGCAGGGCGGCGGCTGGTGCACGTCCGTCACCGCATGCGCGGCGCGCGCAAAGACGGTGCTCGGCAGCTCCAACTTTTACCCGCCGCCGTCCGATCCCAACTTCGACAAGACCGTAAGATCCCGTCGGATTGACTCCGTGCGCGCCGCTACGGTTCTTATTGCATTCTCCTCATCAGTTCCGCATCCACCTCCTCACCCTCTGCATTCCTCCCGCTGACCACCTTTTCCCCACCTTCCCCCTCCGAAACCCCCTCGCCCCCCTCCCCGCGCTCGCCCCACAACCCCAACCCCAACCCTTGCTCTTCGCTCCCCGGTGCGTGCGCAGATGCGCGACTACGGCAACGCGTTCACGGGCATTCTGAGCAACAGCTCCACGGAGAACCCCGACTTCTACAACTGGAACCTCGCCATGGTCGTCTACTGTGACGGCGGCGGCTTCGCCGGCACGCGCCGTCAGTACGACCTGCCCACCGGCGGGTCCATCTACCTGGACGGCGCGCGGGTGTTCAAGTCCGTGCTGGAAGGTGCGACGCCGCGCAGGCTGGGCTGTGATAGAGGGGAGGGGCGGAGCGATGGAGTTGACTTAAACAGCATGAAATTCTCCATAGATTCCGGTAGCCCTCCGCTGCTCCATAGTTCCGTTCCTCATTGCTTAACTCCCCCTCCTGCGTCCCACCTCCTACGACTCCCCGTTCCCCTCCCCCTCCCCGTCTCCCCCCGTCTCTCGGCGCAGACCTTTACGAGCGCGGGTTGCTGCAGGCGCGCAAGGTGCTGTTCACGGGGTGCTCTGCGGGCGCGCAGGCGGTGTCGTCGATGTGCGACCGCGTGGCGACGTACTTGCCGCCGGGATCCGTCAAGTGCATGATGGACGCCGGCTTCTTCCTCGGTGAGCCGCCACTTCACTCCATCCGGGATACACACGCATCATTCACGCCAGCACACGGATCGTGTGTGATTCTGCTCGATTGTTACCCTTTCCTTGCCGTTCCCCTCCATCCACTCACTCTTCCACGTTCCCACGCGCCCTCTCCCCGACTCCCCCATTCCCTCCTTCCTCCTCTCAACTCCCCCCGCCCCTCTCCATCCCCGCCTCCCCCCCGCGTGTGCATGCGCGCGCAGACGGGTGGGACGTGACGGGGCGCATGTACTTCCGCGACCTGTCCATGCGCTTCACGGAGCTGCACCGCCCCGCCGTCGAGCAGGGCTGCGGCGATGGTGAGACAAGGGATGGGCGCACGGAGGTCGGGGTAGGCTTTGAAAGGAAGAGAGGGAAAGATTACTATAGGCGCGGAGGGGTAGGAGGATGTTGTCGGGCAAGCAGATAAAGTTTGGTTCTTTCCACCCTCCCGCCCTTTACCTTGTGATGGCACCCCCCACCTCTCACCATCTCCCCTATACATCCTTCTCGCCACTTGTACCCCATGCCGTGCCGTGCGCTCACAGCGTACACGGGGTCGACAGAGTACTGGCGGTGCTTCTTCCCGCAGTACAACGTGGAGTTCATCGACACGCCGCTCTACATCGTCAACTCCATCAATGACTACGCCGCCATCGAGATCCTCAACTACGCGCAGAACACCTCCAATAATGTCCTCAAGTGCCTCGCTGAGCTCGCTCCCAACGGCGGCAGTGGGGGTTACGTGCCGCGTGCTACCCGCAACCTGCTGGCCAGCGCAGCGGCGGGAGCAAGGGCGGGGCGTACTAGCAGGAGCAGTGCCGGCAGTAGGCCGGCGGCAAGCAACTCGTCGTGCACGGTACAGGCCCAGGCGGCGCTGAAGAGTTACTCCACGCGCATGCTCAAGCGTATTCAGAGCCTCGTGAGGCGACGGCCGCAACTGGGCAGCTACTTGCTAGGGGCAAGTGCCCACTGCACCACCATCTACCCCACGTGGAGCAGCATTAGCCGCAAGGGAGTGTTCCTTAGACAGGCCATCTCTGACTGGTACTTCAAAGGCGTATATGGAGTCACTGGCGCCTCTAACACTAAAGGCTAGGATATACTTGGCTGCTGATCATAGAATGTAATTCAGATACGAGCACTCCTGTTGCTTTCAGGTCGATAGCTTTTACACACAGCTGCCTTAGGGATCTCGATGTTGAAGATAACCTGACATGCTATATAATGGAATATATACTATACCATTGTGCGCTAGCCCCGTAAGAATATAATGGAATACAACCTTGTTCAGGTGGCATGGATTTCTCAACTGTCCCGCATGAATGCGAAGCCATACATACCGTACGCGAAAAGTGCATCGTAACGACAATTACACCATGGAATCACCTGGTGAGATAAAATGCATCAATAGAAGATTGAATACCCTCATACCATACTGTTCTCAGGACAGGCTGAAATCAGGTTGTCGAACCATACCTGAATGCGAATTCGACAGAAGTTGACTTACAAATAGTGCTAAAAATGGCAAAAACCGCTTATGAATGGCGGTATGTAATAGATCTCGTTCTCATAGGAGGGATCAAGTTTGCACATTAGTACCTTATGCCACATGGTAATACAGTATGTTGAAGAATTCAGTAGCTCTATTTACATCACAAATTTATCATCCAGCACACCTTTATTTTTCAACACAGTCCAAGGCGGTGTAGCAAGCTAGCCCCTCACCCAAGAACATCGAGAATGAACACACGCTACTGGTCCCTTCCTCAAGGAATATCAGCTTCTGTCAATCTCCGTGATGTTTAAACCGTTGGATCTGCTTATTTGGCCGATCCCTCCACGTCAGCCTCCCCCTTCAGCGCCTGTGTTGAGGGAATTCCGCCTGCTCCCCGCGCCAGCGCTGCTGCTGACGTGTGGGATACGCGGCGGAATCTTTGGCACATGGGCTGCTGGGGGAGCGGGGAAAGGGCGAGGGGGTTTGGACTGGGAGGAGTTGAAGCCTCCTAACGTCCTCTTCAACATTCCTCTTTTCTCATTTCTCTCTCGGATCTCTTAGCTCCGCTGGGAGTAGAAGCTCACGTTTCGTTTCCTGACAAATCGTCCCTCTTTGCCCCTGTGGCTGGTACCCTTGTAATCAGCCAAAATGGTACGTCTCGTCCGTCGGCATTCCTTCAGCATTCGTGTGCTGTCACGGTGATACCGTGATTTTTCTTCTGGATTCCGTGCTTGCTTATGGATCTCATGTATTGCGACTTCTCCAATCTACGTGCCTATGTGTTTTGCGACTGCAGGTGAAGTTTACGTTCGAGGATTTGCGCGCGATCATGGACAAGAAGAACAACATCCGTAACATGTCCGTGATTGCGCACGTGGACCACGGTAAGCTCATCTCGTCGCCTGTTGAGGGTTCTTCTGTAGATCGAGCAAACGAAGCTAGGGTTTGGGGTTGGTTTCTTCACAGGCTGAAACGCTCGTGATAATTCACTTACTCGTTTTCACCCCTTTCCACCTCTTCACTTTCCGATTCACGTTCTCGAACGACGATATTTCCGTTACCCCGTCTTACTTCCCCCTCTACCCTCTTTCTCCCGCGGCACCATTATTCCTTTTTTGTTTCCCCGTTCATGTTAGTCTTGTATCTCTCCCTCTTCTACTGCATACAATTATCGTCTCTTGTCGGTGTCAATAGAGCACGGTGTGACCCATATCCTAAGAGGTCCTTCGTAACATTTTCCGCTTTGCTCCAGGTTCCTTACGTGAGCAAATATTGAAAGATCTAACGAGATGTTTCTATGCGTATTCCGTGTTGATCTACAGGCAAGTCGACTCTCACCGACTCGCTCGTGGCTGCTGCTGGTATCATCGCGCAGGAGACTGCCGGTGACGTCCGTCTAACAGATACTCGCGCCGATGAGGCCGAGCGCGGTATTACCATCAAGTCCACTGGCATCTCGCTCTACTACCAGATGACTGAGGAGGAGCTGGAGGGTCTGGAAGGCGTTAGGGACGGCAACGAGTACCTGATCAACCTGATTGATTCGCCCGGTCACGTTGACTTCTCGTCCGAGGTCACTGCTGCTCTTCGTATCACTGACGGTGCGCTCGTCGTCGTGGATTGCATCGAGGGTGTGTGCGTGCAGACCGAGACCGTGCTGCGCCAGGCAAGTCTCTAAGTCTTTTGTGTCCAGTCTCAAGTCGCTTGCCTCGTCAGCGTTTTTCTAACATGTCATGTGCTTGCTGCAGGCCCTTGGTGAGCGTATCCGGCCAGTCCTTACCGTGAACAAGATGGATCGCTGCTTTCTGGAGCTGCAGCTCGACGGCGAGGAGGCTTACCAGGTTCGCTTCTTCCCTTAAGCTTCACTTGCGCGAATTTACTGAGAATTCGACTCTGCCGCTGAGGAATTCGTTGTTTATTTTTTGTTCTACCACTTTCTTACCAGTTTTAGTTTTTGGATGCGTTGCCTCGTTGTGCAGACGTTCCGTCGTGTGATTGAGAACAGCAACGTCATCATGGCCACCTACGAGGACAAGCTGCTCGGCGACGTCATGGTTGCACCCGAGAAGGGTACCGTGGCGTTCTCCGCCGGTCTGCACGGGTGGGCGTTCACGCTGACCAACTTCGCCAAGATGTACGCTGACAAATTCAAGGTTGACCGCAAGAAGATGATGGAGCGCCTGTGGGGTGAGAACTTCTTCGATACCGCCACCAAGAAGTGGACCACCAAGAACACCGGCTCCCCCACTTGCTCTCGTGGTTTCGTCCAGTTCTGCTACAACCCCATCAAGCAGGTTCGTCGAAATCAACCGGGCTGTTTATCTTGTGCGGTCGGTTTTCCCTGTCCATCTGCTTGTTCAGATTTGAAGCGATTAACACTTCTTCGCTACCGTGGCGCAGGTTATCTCGGCGGCGATGAACGACGAGAAGACGAAGCTGTTCCCCATGCTCGAGAAGCTCCACGCCGTGCTGCCCAGCGACGCCAAGGAGCTGTCCGGCAAGCCGCTCATGAAGCGTACCATGCAGGCGTGGCTGCCCGCGCAGGCGGCGCTGCTGGAGATGATGATCTTCCACCTGCCGTCGCCCGCCAAGGCGCAGAAGTACCGTGTGGAGAACCTGTACGAGGGTCCCCTGGACGACCAGTACGCCAATGCCATCCGCAACTGCGACCCCGAGGGCCCGCTCATGCTCTACGTGTCTAAGATGATTCCCGCCTCTGACAAAGGTCGCTTCTTCGCCTTCGGTCGTGTGTTCGCCGGTAAGGTGGCGACGGGCATGAAGGTGCGCATCATGGGCCCCAACTACGTGCCCGGCAGCAAGAAGGACCTGTACGTCAAGTCCGTGCAGCGTACCGTCGTGTGGATGGGTCGCAAGCAGGAGTCGGTGGAGGACGTGCCTTGCGGTAACACGGTGGCCATGGTGGGGCTGGATCAGTTCATCACCAAGAACGCCACGCTCACTGGCGAGAAGGAGGTGGACGCGCACCCCATCAAGGCCATGAAGTTCTCGGTGTCACCCGTCGTGCGTGTGGCCGTGCAGTGCAAGGTGGCATCTGACCTGCCCAAGCTGGTGGAGGGGCTGAAGCGTCTGAGCAAGAGTGACCCCATGGTGGTGTGCTCCATTGAGGAGAGCGGCGAGCACATTGTCGCTGGTGCTGGCGAGCTTCATCTTGAGATTTGCCTCAAGGATCTCCAGGTCAGTCCTGCTTCCTCCACGCTGTGTTATTGCAAAATTTACAAAGGATCCCTGAACCCACCACGCTGCATCGCTCTCGTTGTGTGTCACTATGCAGGACGACTTCATGGGAGGGGCTGAGATCATCATCTCGGACCCTGTGGTGTCCTTCCGCGAGACTGTGCTGGACCACTCTGAGCGCACCGTCATGGCCAAGTCGCCCAACAAGCACAACAGGCTCTACTTCCAGGCCAGGCCTCTGGAGGACGGTCTTGCTGAGGCCATTGACGATGGCCGCGTTGGCCCCCGCGACGACCCCAAGGGCCGCGTTGAGATCCTCACCAAGGAGTTCGGCTGGGACAAGGAAATTGCTCGCAAGATTTGGTGCTTCGGGCCCGACACCATGGGGCCTAACATCATTGTTGACATGTGTAAGGGAGTGCAGTACCTGTCTGAAATCAGGGAGCACGTGGTGGCGGGTTTCCAGTGGGCCAGCAAGGAGGGTGCTCTGGCGGAGGAGAACATGCGTGGCATTGCGTTCGAGCTGTACGATGTGGTGCTGCACACTGACGCCATCCATCGTGGTGGTGGCCAGCTCATTCCCACGGCTCGCCGTGTGTTCTATGCCGCGCAGCTCACGGCCAAGCCGCGCCTGCTGGAGCCCGTGTACCTGGTGGAGATCCAGGCGCCCGAGGGTGCTCTCGGTGGCATCTACTCCACGCTGAATCAGAAGCGTGGCCAGGTGTTCGAGGAGATGCAGAGGCCGGGCACGCCCCTGTACAACATCAAGGCGCATCTGCCTGTCATTGAGAGCTTTGGCTTCTCTGCTCAGCTTCGTGCTGCCACGTCTGGGCAAGCGTTCCCCCAGTGCGTGTTTGACCACTGGGAAATGCTCATGTCGGATCCCCTGGAGCAAGGCACCCAGGCCTTTAAGATTGTTGAGGATATCCGCAAGCGCAAGGGCATCAAGCTTCAGCCTCCTCCCCTCTCCGAGTGGGAGGACAAGCTGTAAGCTCTGCCTTGCTCTCTGGAGGCACTGCTTGCAACTGGCTGTTGGGGTGGTGGCTTTCATGGCTGGTAGGGGTTTGCTTCTGGTCTGATAGAAGGGAACTTGCAGTTAGTGTGTTCTGCCACAGCTGCTGTGGGGGATGCTTTTGGCATGTTGCTATGTCATGCATCCACTTTTGCTGTTTTACATTGCAAGACCTTGATATGTTTCTGTGCTATTTGTTTGAACTCGATTTTTGCTTGCGTATCATGCTCGCTCCATAACTGTTGTGGTGGAACAAATAATTATACATTGGCAATGTAAAGTCTGCCCTTGTTTCACCAGTGATTCTCTCTTCTGGTAGCACTCATGTATATACGTACCGATAAAAATTTGTACTGTACAATTTCAAAGACGCGCCTCGATACTAATCATACAGTTCCTGGGTTTTGTTCGCGTGGATATTGTCGTGAGACTTGACGAGAAAAGGTACGGAGACGTCAGAGCTGCTTCAGAATCTGCGACGGCTGGAAGAGAATCTTGGGAAAAATTATCTGTGCCGCTTGCCATGGCGAAGCAGCAGGAGCACAGCATAGCGTGTGAGGAGGCGAGCTCCGCGGACGTGATGGACTCGTCAGAGAATGAACTGAAAGCATATGCAGCAACTGATTGCGTCCATGCGTCTGGAACTGTCAAAAGCTGTAGCCTGCGCGTATTGCGCATGAGCATTCGAGGCTTCAAAAGCTACAAGCGGAAGGTTGAGATTGGTCCGTTGAGCGACTTCACGTGCATCATCGGCTGCAATGGCTCGGGAAAATCGGTGAGGTCGACCAGCTTCTGCCTGGTGTTGGCTCCCTGTCTTTTCGAAAGGTAGGGAGATGCGCGGAGAGTCCGCGGTTGCGACTGTAACGCGCTCACTTTCAGGTGGTGGGAGAAGCGCTCGCCTTCGCGCTCGGCGCGTCCACTCGCAGCATGCGCGAGTCGCACGCCGGGGATGTGATCAACCAGGCGACGAAGCGCGAAGACAGCAACAAGGCCATGGCTAAGGTACCGTTGGAAGAATCGGGAAGCACCGCTTACTGGCATCTTGACTGCAATACAGAAGACTCGTACAAGTTCCTCTCACGTTGGGGCGACGATGTTGTAGAGGCGTCATACATGTTCTTTGTGCGACGAGATTTCGTGTGTTTCTAACAGCCGTTCTCGTGTCGCAGGTATCTGTAGTTCTGTCTGTTTTGGCCACGAAGCCAGCAGCGTGTCTCGCAGGAAAGCAGGTGGAGGAGGTTCAAGGTCAAGAGCACATGGAAGGAGAGCCAAGAGACGAAAACGAACCTGGGACGAATGGTCCAGGCGAAGTGGTCAGTGACGTGGCGGGAAGCGAATGCGAAGCTGGCGATGCAGGGCGTGGTGGTGAAGGGAGAGGCGATGTGGGGGAAAGCGCTGCTATGGGTGGGTGCGAGCAAGAGCAGGGGGGCAGTGAGGACAGTGGAAGCCAAGGCTCTGCTGCAGTCCCTTGTTCGAGCAGCTGTGAGGTGAAGGTGACACGGTGGGTGTGTGCAACAGGCAGCAGCGTCTACTCCATCACACGGGACGGCGTCAAGAGGTGTGTGTGCTTCGTGCGCTGCCATCATTCCTCCTTGCGTGGTCTCAGCTTGTTTTGGTGATCCGTGCGGCTGTTTCACATCTGACTGGTGCAAACCTTGGCAGGACTGTGAGCGCGAGCAATCTGAGGAGCGAGCTGCTGCAACTGGGCATTCGCACGGAGTGCATTGACAGGTGCAGCCGTCACCTCCCCACCATCCCTGCTATGCACGCAGTAACGTTGCATTACCATGAGGTTTCATGATGAGGCGGAGTGTCACTGTTGTCTAGCCTGACTTGAGCAGCTGTCGCGCGCTCTCCCCCTGTGCGTGCAGGTTCATTGTGATGCAGCAGCAGCAGGCCGTCAGAGTCCAGGCGCCCACTCAACTCGTGAAGGTGCGCTGCAATCCTGCGTTCACCCTGCTGCTGTGCACGATTACCAAGGAATTTGGACCACATGTATCTGTGTGTGCATTCCTCAGCTGCACCATCTTGTTGCCACGCCTCGATTGGCATGGTTTTGAACCAGGAAAGGAAATTGCTCTACACGATTGCACTGACAAGCTAATGAAGTTTTGCATATACACGTCGGTTCTTGTCATCACCCCATCTTTATTTGGCGTCTTCTTCTGCCTCATCATATCACTCTCTCGTCACCCTACCTCCCCTCCTCTTCCCCATCTCCTTTCCCCCTCCCCCCTCCCGCTCCCCCTTACCTGAGCAGTATGTGGAGCGGCTGGTGGGCACGGCGCACTTGGAGGAGGCGATAGAGGCGGTGGGCGTGGAGCTGCAGCGAGTGGAGGCGGCACGCGAGGCCGTGCGCTCGGAGCAGCAGCAGCTGCTGCACAGGCGCGAGCAGCTCCGACCCGCTGTTGACTGCTGGCGGCGGTATGCATGTTGGGATGGGGGTGGGGAGGAATGGGGATGGGGATGGGGATGGGGATGGCGATGGGGATGGGGATGGGATGGGGATGGCGATGGGGATGGGGTGGGGATGGGGATGTGTATGGGTATGGCGTTTGTGTGAGTATGGGTATGGGTATGGGACTTGGCATGTGCGTTGGTATGAGTGCCTCTACCACGATCCAATATCATCCCCCCTGTTTTCACATTGCTACACGCGTGTGGCTCTTCTGTTCCGCATGCATCCAAAGGTTTTCCTTCAGTGGATTCGTCTTCTGTGTCCTTCCTTGTCGGTGTGCTGGTGGGTGCAGGTTCCAGTGCGACTGGCAAGAATTCCAGAAGCGCAAGGTGAGGGTCACACATGTGGAAGTTTCTCGCACTATGTTAATGTCGACTTGTGACTTTCCGACATCCGGTTTCTCGATGGCCATGTCCTCATTTTCCTGACTCGTCCGTCTCACTAACCAAACTCGTGTGGGAGGGGGGGTCCAGAGAATGGCTTTAACGAGTCACTTGCGAGGGCTGAAGAAGAGCAAGGAAGCGGCCCAACAGCGCATGAACGGCCTGGAGCGACAGATGCAGTCCACGCACAGCCACGGCAAGGTGGGGCCTCTCCCCGATTTCCCACCCATGCTGCACTGCACGCATGGCTCACACATTGCCGTTTGACATCCGTGCCGCCCCGTGCTGGACAATCCCTGGCTCAATCCAACTCAGGCCTTGATGCCATCACACCACACTCACCTCAGCATGCACCCGCGTTCCGCATCAGCTCGTGCATGTTTGCAAGCACTGCTTTTCCCTGATATGTTCAGCACCCTCCCTCCGCCCCAACCGTCTCCTCTCCTCGTGGCCACGGCAGGAGGTAGAGGATGCAATGGCAGCAGCGCGGCAGCGGCACCTGGCAGCAGCAGCGCGCACCACTCACGCGTCCCACCTGCTGGCAGTAGCGCAGGCGAGCTGGCAGCAGCAGCAGCTGGCGCTGGTGAAGGCCCAGGTGCGTGCATTGCACTGCTAAAGGGTGCTGGGGAAAATTGACAGAGAGTATGGATGGGTTGAGTTGTTAGGGGAAAATATGGTTTTCAAGGATTCTTGTGTTCTTCTGAACTTCTGTTGCCTCTCCCGCCACTGTAACATCTGCTTGTCACTTCCACGTGCCATGTGCTTCTGCACTAGGCTTTGTTGCTTCATGCTTCAGCTTCATGGTTCCTACCTATGGTCGCACACAGTGACCATTGCTGCTGCTGCCATGCACATGCATGCACCATCCCCACTGCCACCTCTCTCACCCCCCACGTGCAGGTGCGGGTGAAGGAGGCGAGGCGACAGCGCTCACAGGCAGAGGCAGCACGGAAGCGCGCAGCTAAAGCTGCTGCTGGTCGCAGGGCGAAGCTGGAGGGGGAGAGGGCGCGGCTGGAAAAGAGCTTGGCGCGCAGTGAGGAGATGCTGGTGCTGCTGCAGCGGCAGGCGCAGGAGGAGGAGAGGCACCTGAGGGCGAAGCTCGAGGAGTGTGGGCTTGGTGATGGGGACGGGGATGGGGATGGGGGAAGTTTGGCGGGTGCAGTGGCAGCAGTGGTGCAGTGGCAAAAGGATGTGGTAGCACTGAGAGAAGAGGAGCAGCACATGCAGGTGGGCGTTCGACAGGGGGGTGTGGGTGGGTTGGTGGGTGCAAGTTCGGCTTCATAATTAGTGTGCGAGCTGGACTTTCTGACTGTGTGGAGTGTGTGTGGATGGCATGCGTGGTTGTGTGCAGGCAAGGATCAAGGCTCTGGAGGAGCAAGGGGCAGAAGCAACCAAGGGCATACAGGAGAGCGAGGAGAAGGTAAGCAAGTAATCTTACCTGTTGAGCTTCCTTTAAAACTCTCGCGACATCAAGTCGTCCTCTCTTTCGATGGTAGGGGTGCACTTCATGCCCCCTTGCACTGCACGAGCGTACGAGAGCCGTGTGCTTTTTTTGTTCGTCGTGCCGCTCTAGGGTCATAGATGTAACAGTTATGAGCAAGCAAGGCTGTTGAAATACAATGCATGACACAATTCCCGAGGCTTAAAAAAAAGCATCCTTCAGGCTGTAATCAAAGCCTTCTTTCTTGCTTTCACTGGCCGTTCCCCTCCGGCCACCCCCACCCCCCTGGCACGTCCGCATGCTGCAATGTCTCCTCGCGCCCGCAGCTGCTCGGCTTGCAACAGCGTGTAGAGCAGGCGGAGAGCAGGAGAAGGGAGCGGCAGCAGGTGGTGCGGGCAGCGCAGGAGCGACTGAGGGGGCTGCTGGAGCAGGCAGAGCGGGTGGGGGAGCGCGAGCTGCCAGCCCTGCACGGCACCCTCGCTGCGCTCCAGGTCTGTGCTGCTACCATGCCCACTCTGTCGCGCGTTCCTCTCGGTCATGACTCCTTTCTGCTTTGTCTCCATAGCGTTGTCGCCCACCCGTGCAAGTGGAACGTGGGGATCGTCTTATAAGGTGTGGCATCGGGAGCGTAGCGTACCATGCCCATCTGCGGAGCTTCCCCCCCCCGCCTCCACTCCATCCTCTCTTCATTCCCCTCCCTCGCTTGTCTGACCCCTCATGTCCCTCCCTCCCACTGGCACTCAGGCAAGGATGCAACGACTGCAGGAGCAGCAGCAGGAGGAGGCAGGGGGAGGGAGTGGTGGGAGGGGGGGCAGAGGCGTCGGTGAGGAGAGGGCGAAGGGGGGCCGGTACGAGGCGTATGACAGGGCAGCGGTGGAGCTCATGAGGACACTGCCCGAGGGCAGGCTGAGGGGGCGGCTGTGTGAGCTGGCTCGAGTGGAGGGGCACGCTGCCGCTGCTGTGAACAGCGTGCTCTCTCTCTCCTGCAACCTCGCTGCCACGTGAGTCCTGCTGCTGCCTCCATGCCCCCGTTTGTGTCTGTCTGGGTGTGGGAAGAATATTCATTACTAGTGCTGCTCTCAGCTCGTTTTGGAGGCGTTAGAGGTGGCAATAATGCGTGCCATGCAACATACATCAACATTCATCATGCGTGCCCAACCAGTGTCCTGCCAATGCACACATGCCTCTTTGTTGTGCCGTGCTGTTCTACGGTGTGTTGTGTTGTGTCTATGCGTGTGTATGCGCTTGCTTTGAGTGCGTGGCAGGTTTGTGACGGAGGATCGGAGGACAGCAGCAGCAGTGGTGGGGTACTTTGAGCAGCATCGCATAGGCCTCGTGTCCTGTGAGATCCTTGACGAGCAGTCAGGCCAACCACCCCCCACTCCACAGAACCAGCAGCAGCAGCAGCAGCGGCGGCCAGTGGGAGACCTCGCCCCGCCACACCCTGCATCACTCCTACCCTGCGTCCCCCCTCCCCACCTCGCCGCCCCCTTGCCTTGTGGGGCGCAGCCACTGCTGTGCGCGGTGCGCTGTGCGCCGGGGTGCCATGCAGTGCTGGCACGCCTGTGTGCGTCGTGGCTGCTGGTGGCGGGGCGAGATGATGCTGTCAGGTTGCTGCCGCTGCTCCGGCGGAACCCCGCTTGGAGGCGCTGCAGCGTTGTCACTGCTGGGGGGGACGTGTTCCGACAGGTTAGGAAGATAGGATTGGGGGGATCGGGGGGATTGGGGGATGGGGTCGATTGGGGGGATTGGGGGATGGTGGGGATTGGGGGATGGGGGGATGGGGGGGATTGGGGGAAGGGGGGTTGGGGGGGATTGGTGCAGGGAGAGGGATTGAGAAGAGGCTTTGAGCCTTGCATGCTTGCATACAGTACCTTCCCGTTCTGTTGTGTTCCTGTGGCAGTTCAGCGACTTCAATGCGTTGATTACAGTACTTTTATAGTACGAGCCGTCCAGTGCCATTCACTGCTTCCGCTCTCTAGTGCCTGCTCTCCTTCTCCCACCCACCCCATCCTCTCCCTTTCTCTCTCCCGCCCACCCTATCCCCTCTTCCCCCCACCCACGCTTTGCTGTTCTTCTCCCGCCCAGCCCGTCGTCCCTTCCTTCCAAGCCGACCCTATTTTCTCTCATGCTCTCCAGCACACCCTTTCAACTCTCTGTCCTGCCCACCCTATCCGCGCGTTTTCTCCGGCCCAACCTTTCCTCTCTCTCCCTAACGCCCTCCCTTACCTCTTGTTGCACAGGATGGCGAGGTGATCCGGGCATGCCTCTCCCCTGCAATGGCCCGCTACCACTTGGCGCCACTGGACGGCGCTGCTGCTGCTGCAACAGGGGGGGGTGCGGGGGAAGAGTCAGGCGAGCAGGCGGAGAGGAAGAAGAAGCGCGAGGAGGCCTTGCAGCGAGCAGTGAGGGCGGTTGAGGAGGAGATGGGACGCGTGCAGTGTGCCATAGCAGAGAAGGAGGCGAGGGGGAAGCAGCTGTGGGTGGAACGGGAGGAGTGTGAGAGAGAGGTGGAACGGTTGGTGGCTGAGGGGAGGCGAGAGGAGGCCGGGGAGGATGAGGGAGGGGAGGTACAGACGAAAGGTGGGAGGGGCAGAGGCAAGAGGAAGGAGGAGAAGGAGAAGTTGACGGGGAGGAGAAGCGAGGAGGGGTGTGGTCTGAAGACGTTGCGTGGTTTGCAGAGGGAGGTGGAGAGGTGTGAGGCGGAGAGGGAGGCGATGAGGCGGCAGGTGAAGTCAGTGGCGGGGCAGGTGCAGGTGCAGAGAGGCAGGCTGCTGGACGTGCAGACGAGGCTGCAGGCTGTTGTGGCGGAGGTGGAGGGGGGCCAAGGGAAGTCGCACGTTGGGAGGTGTGGCATGGGAGTGGCGGAGTGGATGGGCGATGATGAGATATCCGGGCATGCAGAGAGAGTGGTGCGGGCCAGGCGGGCAGTGAAGGACGTGGAGGAGAAGGCACGGGAGGAGAGGGTGGAGCTGGCCTGTGTGCAGCAGTCGCTGTGTGCCGTGCAGGGCGCTGGGGCTGAGGCCCGTGCGGAGGCCAGTGAGGGCGCTGGTGGGCGCAAGGGGGCGGCGAGGCAGGGTGGGAGGCATGGGAAGGGCAAGGGGGGAAAGGGAGGAGGAGGGAAGGGGGATGTGGCAATGGAAGGAGGCGAGGAAGGGGAAGAGGAGGACGAGATGCGAGAGATGGAGGCACAAGTGAAGAGGCTGGAGGAGGCGAGGGATGGCAGGTGAGGCGTGTGTGTGTGGCATACCTGCTAGGACCAGCACCATGGCACAGCTGCCATGTGCTGCACATGTTCATCTGCTGCTGACGTTTCAATGGGGCAAGTCCGTGTGGAACCAGGCTTACGTTGTGATGTGCTAGAGCATGCTGCCTGCCCTTCATTCAACCCTCATCACTTATACGTTCTCCGCCGTTTGCCTCCCGTACGTTCTTCCCCTTTGCGTTCTATCGTGCCACAGGCAGGTGGAGGTGCAGAGTGCGAGGAGGGAGAGCGAGGAGGCAGCTGACGAGGAGAAGGCGCTCAAGGCCAAGCGTGGCAAGCTCATGGCCTCGCTGGTACGCTGCTGCTGCGTCTTTTCTGCTCAATTATGCTCCATCATCGTCATGCTCCCTCCTTCTTATGCGTTTGCATGCCCTTCTCCCACCGTGTCACGCATACGGTACTTAGCAAGTCCTCTTCTCAACCTTTATCCGTGCCTGTCCGTCATACCACTTCCAATGCTGCTTCCCACATGCATCATCCTGCACGTGTATCCGCCTGCTCGATCATTCGAATATCTGAGTCTTGGTTTCGCATGTATGTGTGCTGCGGGGGCATGGTGGCAGGTGAAGCTGCAAGGAAGTGCAGTGGAGGCGAGGCAGCAGCTGGCGGACCTGGAGGCAAGGCTGCAGCGAGCAGCAGCGCTGCTCAAAGAGTGTGGGGGGATCGAGGGGTGGGGCACGGGTGCTGGTGGCAAGGGAGAGAAGCAAGGGAACCGAGGATGTAACAGGAGCAGGCGAAAGGTGTATAAAGGGAGGAAAGGGAAGGGAAGGAAGGGGGCTTGGAAGAGCAAGAACAAAGGAGGGCGCCAGGAAAAGGCAGAGGATGCAGGGGAAGCGGTGAATGGAGAGGGGCCAGTGCTGCGAAGGTCAAGTAGGCTTCAGGCGGCTGGAGACGGGGCGAGCAGCACGGGCCGAGGGCGCTTGGAAAAACGGGAGGAGGGTTCAGCGAATCGCAAGGGCAAAGGAGAGGTGAAACGCAGAAAGAGTGGTGCGAGCAAGGGAGGAGGTGAGGAGGATGAGAAGCAACAGGAGGTGGCAGGGAAAGCGTATAGAAGACGTAGGGGTGCAATGAAGGGTGAGGGTGAACGGATGGGGGATGCGGAGGCAGTGAGTGGTGGTGAAGAACGAGAGGGCGGGAAGAGTCCTGCAGCAATGGACGCTGATGCGAGTGCTGCGAAAGGTGAGGGGAAGGGTGCGAAGCGAGAGAGCAGAAGGACAAGGGTAGTTCAAAGAGTGAACATCAAAGAAGGGCGCAAAGTAGAGACGGGTGCAGTGGGCGAAGGAGAAAGTACGGAAGAGGAAGAGGTGGAGGAGGATGAGGAGGAGGAGGAGGAGCAGATGGAGGAGGAGGAGGAGGAGGAGGAGGAGGAGGAGGAGGAGGAGGAGGAGGAGGAGGAGGAGGAGGAGGAGGAGGAGGAGGAGGAGGAGGAGGAGGAGGAGGAGGAGGAGGAGGAAGAGGAAGATGAGGAGGAGGAAGAGGAGGAGGAAGAGGAGGAGGAAGAGGAGGATGAGGTTGAGGAGGAGGAGGAATATGGTGGTATGGAGGGCGAGGAGGGCGAGGAGGAGTGTGGAGGTGTTTCCCTGGAGGAAGTGGTGGAGGAGGAGAAGGAGCTCATGAAGAGAAGAAGGTGAGACAGCCCTGTCAGTCCAGAAGGTTTGTCCACACCACAACCACTCACATGTTCCATGCCATCATGGTGCCATCACGACATCATCACCTTGTCCTTGCATCTGCCTTGCCTTGCTCCCCCGCCCCGCCATGTCACCTGTGCAGTGCCATAGACGCGGCAGCACTGCAGGAGGACGTGGGGTGCCAGAGGCGGCTGGTGGCGGTGGGGGAGGAGGTGCAGCGGGTGGAGGAGCAGGCGCGCATGCATGCAGTGCGGCGCGAGGAGCTGGAGATGCAGCGCTTCACTCAGCTCAGAGGGGCGCTGCTCAAGGTGTGTGTGGCTCTCTGCCTCTGCTGCACTTGTGCTTGCTGCACCCGCTTTGATTGCCTGTGTGGGCCAAACTGCTTCTGGCTGTGTGCATGAACGGGTAGAGTGCAGCGTGCAATGAAGGGATCATGGCATGCGTTCTGAGCTCACCATGCAACCGCATTATGTATTGCTATCTTGGTGCGTTTGGCATGTGTGCTTGTGCATGTATGTGTGTTTTCTGTGCGTGCATGTACATGCACGTGTGCATGTGCATGAGCATGTGTGGGGCAACGCGTTGCTGTTGGTGTGCAGGTGAATGAGAACCTATCGGCCATCTACTGTCAGCTGACACGCCATGGAGATGCATACCTGTCGTTCGTGGATGAGAAGAGCCTGCTCTTCTCCGATGGCGTGCACTTTCACGGTACCGCACCGTCTTGCCAACCACCCTCTGCCTGCCCTCGACCCCCATGCTCCGCATATTCTGCACATCTGCCATCCCTTGGTCATCACACAATCCCCTTCCTTCACGTCTCAGCCACCCCCCTCTCCTGCTCCCTGCACCCGCCATTCTGTGCCTTGTTCCTCGTCAATCTCTGTTCTGTATCAACAACCCAGCCGCTTCTCACTCTCCTCATGCATCCACGTCCATCCACCACGTTCCTCCCATTCTGCACCTCCCACCCACCCATGCACCCATGCAGTTCGGCCTGACCGCCAGTGCTGGCGGCCGTTTGCGTCTCTGTCAGGCGGGCAGCAGGCGCTGGCATGCCTGGCGCTGTCGTTCAGCCTGCAGGCGTCCTTCCCCTCGCCCGTCTACTTCTTTGATGAGATCGATGCATCGCTGGACACCAAGCATGCCCTGCAAGTGGCGCGCTTCATTCAGGTAACCTTGCTCGGCTTCCCATCGTCTTTGCTATCCGCTCTTCTGTCAAACTTGTCCGCATTACTGTATGTGAAGTTACTACATGTGGGCCTGAGTGCACCTTCAGGCAAACACCTTGTTGATCAGTACCCGTGGCTTTCTCTTGTTTCATGTGCCTGCAGGCGCAGCGGTCAGCACAGTACATTGTGGTGTCTCACCGCCCACAAGTGTATGAGCAAGCGAGTACACTGGTGGGGGTGTACAACTTCAAAGGAAGCTCCACCTGCCTCACTGTACATGCTGACAGCCCCGTGCCGCCCATGGCTGCTGCAGAAGAGAGGAACGGATTTACTTCTTAGGGGCTGCAACCATCCCAACGGAATGGAGAGTGGACCATGAGATGCCATCATCATGCCACTTGTTGCCACTCTTGAGGTTTTAGGCTTCCCAGACATTCGTGAGAACATTGCTGACTGGCAAATATTTTACAGAACATACCATCTGCTTCATAAGTGTTGAATGTTCCCCCACTTGATTAAGCACAGCATGGTTGTTCGAAACATGTGAAAGAAAATGCAAGTCTTAAGCATTTTACCCTTTCAAAATATGTTTGTTTTTAGCGTTGGTGCGTTGATGCGTTTTATGAACGATTCTGTAGAGGAGTCAAAGCCCATGCAAAAGCCCTGTGAGAGGATTGGGCGGGGAAGGGTGCCGCCACAATTTGGCGACGAGCTTAGCATCGTGTTAGGAGCTGCAGTGGCAAGGCGACGACGACGCCTTCGCAAGCGGCTCGTGAATCGTGAAATGTGGTGGGTCGTGATTGATGGGATCGAGGGTGCGCGACTCCTGGGTGCCTTTGCGGGGAATCCCAACCAACTAAACCACAATACGGGCCGCCGAGCGCGTGTGGATGCCTCGCTGATTGGTGTACGCCGGATCTACGCGACAAACAAGGTCAGGACTACGAGTCTGCGACTACCCGAAAGCTTCGCTGTTGTCGTGCGATTGATAGCACTTGGCCCCGCCACCACTCCACTGCGCCCCCACCCCTCCAGAATCGATTTCAATTCACATTTGTCGCTGCTTCCCAATCCACCAGTACACGACCAGCAAATTCCTTCCTCCTTGGGCTTGTGAAAGGCGGTTTGCATTGCACACATCAACTGGAAAAACAGGAACAACGTCGTGCATTCCTCGTTCACTGCGAACCAAAATCACTTGACACCTCCCGTGTCAAGGCCAAAGAGAAGCTACTCGTCGGCGCTCCCTCTCACTGACCAGCGCCGGCGCCATGACCGTGCCGTACAGGTCGCCGAATGGCGTTAAGGAGAACGCGGCTGCTCTCGCGCACTTGAACGCGCTGCGCAAGCGCATGGCGGGCCCCGAGGCGCCAGTGGCAACAGCAGCGCAGGTGAGTTTATGGCGGCGAACATTGTCGCGGCGTCATTGTCGTGTCGCTTTGTGATTCTATCTAGTATAATTCATTCGCCCCGCGAGGTTAGTAGTGCCTTTACGAGACGGCTGGGGACTCCACGGCCGACATACACTTTACCCATTTCCGTTTTTTTTGCCTCCACGCCATCCGCGTGCCCCCCACGGTTCGACATTCCTCCGTGCCCGTCCTCCCCTTCACCGCAGCATCGCCATCCCCTCGAGCCCGCGGCGAACACGTCGCGCGGAGCCGTCGCGGCAGCAGCAGCGCTGCGTCTGCCTCTCGATCCGCCCGTGCATAGCGGCGACCAGAGTGCGCCGGCGCCCCCGTGCGAAGACAATCCCGCCGCTCCAGCTTTCGCAACTGCCCCCGACGACGATGGCGGTGACACTGCGGCGCGCACGGCGGGAATTAGAAGTCGCGGGGATGAGGGGAAAACGCGCGGGGCAGAGGAGGGCACGCGGGAGCGCTGCGAAGGCAACGAGGGGGATGCGCTTGGATGCGCGCGGAACGCGCGAGATGGGGAACGCGCGGCCCTTGAGCCGCAGGAGGCGAGAGCGGAAGGCCGACGGTGGAGTTTGGACGACTTCGAGGTGATTCGACCGTTGGGACGCGGAAAATTTGGAACCGTGTTCATGGCTCGCGAACGAGAGGTGAGAGAGATCATCGGGAGTATGATTTCCTGCCTGCTGCTCGCAGGAGATGCATTTTCCGTCTATTTCTTTCCACAACCTCCCCTTCCTCACCCTCTCCCTCCCACATGCGCGCCATAAATTCGCCGCGTCCCTCCGCGCTCCCCCCGGTTCGCGCGCATGAGCAGAGCGGGCGCACGGTGGCGCTGAAGGCGGTGAGCAAGCGCGAGGTGCGCGAGGAGGGGCTGGAGGAGCAGCTGCGGCGCGAGATCGAGATCCACGCGCACCTGCGCCACCCGCACGTGCTGCGCCTCTACGGCTACTTCTACGACCAGGTCAGCTCAAGCGCTGCCCTCCTCCGCCGCGTAGCGCCGAATAAAGGTCGCTCATGTCACCCACGCGTGCTGCCGCGCCTGCACGGATACTATGGGGTTGTCACTAGTACTGGACTCACAAGAGGTACACCACCAGGTGGTGTCCCGCGCTGCCCCTTGTCGCTGCCGCCCTTCACTGCCCTGCCCACTGGGTGCCACCCATTGTTGTCCGCCGTACCACCACCCTCTCGCTGCATTCTCCCTAAACCCCCTCCTCCGCTTTCTTTCACCCGTGCGCGTGTCCGTTGCCCACCCCACGGCAGGCGTTCGTGTACCTGGTGCTGGAGCTGGCGACGGGCGGGGAGCTGTACCGCCAGCTGCGCACGCGCACCAGACTGCAGGAAGGGCAGGCCGCCAGGGTACGCCCAGCACCGCTGCCATTCCGGCAAGAGTGCGAGCGCTAAGAGGACTGTGAACACTGCTGGCATTGCTGGCTCGCCACATGAGGGCTGGGTGACGGGTCCATTTCCCAATGCGTTTCCCCCCTGTGCCCGATGCACTGCCTCCCTCGCGCGGCACCACCACGGGCGCTGCCGGGTTCTCGTGCTCGTGCACTGCGTCCCACTCCAGGGAACTGCCCTTGCGCCCGTGCCGCTCCCTCAACGCTCTCCATTCCTCCTCCCTCCCTGCTTCCTCTCGCCGTCCCCCTGCTTGCCCCATGGCAGCACGTGGCGGGAGTGGCGCGAGCACTGCTGTACGTGCACGAGCGCGGGGTGGTGCACCGTGACATCAAGCCCGAGAACCTGCTGCTCTCCGATAAGGTCACCCCTCAACACACCCCACCGCCGCCTCCCCTTGCACACCTCACTCGCTGTATCCATGCCTCTTAATTCGAACCCCCCCACTGACAATCCGTGACGCGCCTCAGAAATTCCTCACACTGGAACCCTCCCCTCTCCACCCCCTTTTCGTGGTGCTACGCGGGGCAGGGCGAGGTGAAGCTGGCGGACTTTGGGTGGTCCACGCGGGCCAGCGACAGCACCACGTGCACCACCGTGTGCGGCACTCTTGACTACCTTCCTCCTGAAATGGGTGCGTGCCACTTGCTTGCTCCCTATCTCCCTCCTGATCTCTTCCTCTCTCTCTCTCTCTCTCTCTCTCTCTCTCTCTCTCTCTCTCTCTCTCTCTCTCTCTCTCTCTCTCTCTCTCTCTCTCTCTCTCTCTCTCTTTCCCGCCCCCCGAACCTCTCTCTCTTTCTCCCTCTTTCATCATCACACAATCTCCCTCGTCCCATCTCTCTCTCCCTCTTTCTCTGGCTCCCTCGTCCCCCTCCCTCTCCTCTGTGCCGGACAGTGGAGGGGGAGCAGCACGGGAGGGAGGTGGATGTGTGGGCGCTGGGTGTGCTGCTGTACGAGCTGCTCGTGGGCTGCCCACCCTTTGAGGCCCCCACACAGACCGACACGTACAGGGGGTGAGACAGCACCACCCTGCATGCACTCATGCACCGTCTCTCCAACACATCCCCGCCTCCACCCCACACTCCCTCTCCCACTCGCCCCCTCCCTCCCCATCCACCCCTCCATTTTGTGGTAACAGACTCACTTCATGCTCCATGCTCCCATTTCCTTCCCTGCCGCTGTGTGTGTGTGTGGTGCGCATGGCAGCATAGTGGAGGTGGATGTGCACTTCCCCCTGCACGTGCGTGTGTCCCAGCCCGCCAAGGACCTCATTCGCCGCCTGCTCGTGCGCCAGCCCTCACAGCGCCTGCCCCTCGCCACCCTGCTGCAGCACCCCTGGGTGCTGCGACATACTCAGGGGCAGGCGCAGGGGCCGGGTGGCAGGAGGGTGCTAGGGGGACATGGCGCGGAGAGGCTGGGAGCAAGGGGAGGGAGGAGCAGCAGCAGGAGGAATGTGCTGTGATGGCTGTTGGTTTAACTGAGTGCTGTTGGTGACTCTTGGGTTGTGAAGGGTCATGTACGGTATTGCCCACGAAGGAAGGTAACCGGTACCTTTTACGTTAGTCCATAGGATAGGGTAGGCACAATACGAAGTGCACAGATTCTGCTAGCTATTGTGCACAAATCCAGGGCAGAGCAGAATGTCAGGCGATGGGGGTAGTAGATGGGACAGGTTGGTCGAGCAATGCGCAGCTCTTTTGACAAGGAAACACAACACACGCCAATGTCACCCACAACCCAAGCACTGGAGCAGGCAGCTGAACACGGTATTGATCTGCATCAACGTTATTTCTACCATTTTGTCAGAGGTCCACTGGTGATCCCCGATTGATCCTAGGGAAGAGTTACAGCCTCGTTGTCCTAGGGGGTTATGGGCGCACTGACCCGCTACTTAAATAGCCCTTTTATCCCAATGGTCTAGTGGTTGGGATTCAGACATGTTATCATAGCGAAGGTCTCGGGTACGAATCCCAGTGTGTGCACCTCGGGCATCCCAGTGCGGGGGGGTATCAAAGGTCCACTGGTGATCCCCAATTGATCCTAGGGAAGGGTTACAGGCTCGTTATCCTGGGGGGTTATGGGCGCACTGACCCGCTACTTAAAAACCCCTTTTATCCCAATGGTCTAGTGGTTGAGATTCTGACACATTTGCACTCAAATATAGAGAAAAAATCCACCATTCCAGCGCTCCTAACTTGCATCAACAAATCAGCATCCGCGCATGACACAAGTGCAGGCTGGAAAGAATACCACCGTTAACGCAGCCCCACATACAGCCATGGCATAAGCAGCATGCAGGAGAGCGGCAGGTGGGAGAGTGGTGGATGGCAGGCAATGTCTAGTAGAGGGTGAGGCTGAGGACACAAGACACCGCGAACCAGGCCAGTAGGAAGTAGCCGAGCTTGGCTGTGCCCTCGGGGTCATCGGGACTCATCTGGTCGCCGTGAGAGAAAGGGACAGACGGGGGATGAAAGCATGTCATTCAGTAGATGCATGCAACGGAGCCAGGGCATGGGCGGACATGGGTGAGAGAGAGAGAGCATGCAGAGTAGAGGGAGAGAGCGTGCAATAGCGAGCGAAGGAGGGGGTGAGGGAGAGAGAAAGGGTACCGGGCGGGGTGGGTTGCCGACGCCTTGGGTGAAGTTCTTCTGAGTGACGTCGGTCTCAAAGGGCCACACGTAGTCGGCAGCGCTGCCCTGCTCCGCACGGATGATGGCCCAGTCGTACAGCCGCCGCTCCTCCTCTGACGTCAGCACGTCCAACGACACCTGCGCACACACCGCATGGCGCCCACGCACGTGGATGAGGGGAATCCGGTTCAGATTGATGGATGGATGGATGGAGGATGCGGTTTGGATGGATGGCGAATGCGGAGGACAGAGCGTGGGTTACTTGAGGGGGGCGGATAGGGGCACGGTCGCATGGCCTGTGCTTTTATGATTCTTGGTAGGAGCTTCAACAACAACTGTCGCATCCATTCTTGCAAGTTTCATAACGTGTATCCATCATTCCAAACCCAGATGTCCCACTCTCTCTTCTCCACCAATGCCGCCTCCCCTTTTTCCTCCCTCCCTGCCTTCCCACCCCCCTCGCTTCCAGTGCCCACCAACCGACACCCGCCACCGTGTGCACAGCCTTCCCTCGCTCGCCTCCCCTCGCTCTTCCCAGCTCTCCCCACTCGCCTCGAGCGACAGCAGTTGCTGCCGGGCCGCCTCCTCGTCCAGGTTCGGGTTGCTCGTCAGCTGCTCGCACCGCGCCTCGAACGCTTTAAAGATCTGCGCCGACGACGCAGGCCGGTGGCGGGCGGGAAAAGGTGGCATCGGGAAAGGGGGTGGGGGAGGGAGAGAGGGAGGGGGGCAGCGGTGGAATGGAGAAGGGCGCATAAAAGGAAGGGAGAGGCGGATGTGAGCAGCGAGGTGGAGATGGAGAGGCAGGGCGAGGAACAGATGGCGACAGCGACTACGGAGGGGTTGGCGTAAGAGCGTGTGGGGGAGAGGAAGGGGGTGGAACAGACGGCCACATGCCCCGTATCTACCTCATCGCCGCTTTCAGCTACAGACTTCAATTGCGTTTCTTGTAAGTTCCTTAAAGCCATTCTTCTGGAATTTCACTGAGAAGGCGATAAGCCAGTGTGGTGGCGAGCGAGCTCGTGTGCAGCGCGACGCGCACGCGGCGGGGATCTCACCTCGGCGTTGTTGGCGTTTCTGGAGACGCCGAGTCGCTTGTAGTGATCCACAAGCACCAGGTCTGACGGGGGGGAAGTGGGGTACGTGGGGTACGAGGTGTGGCGATGAGAGGGCGGAGGAGAGAGGTGAGGGAACACAAATCTTCTTGGCAGGGATCTAGCGGCTGACAATGGGCCACGCGCAATCGTGCGGACCTGGATGCACGGCTGTCCAGATACCGTGCGATGCACAGCATGTAGTCTCACGTTGTCGACCTACCCCCCCACGCAATCAGATCCTTATTCGCGTCCGCCCTGCCTACGGCCTTGAACGCTGAGCCTCGTGTTGATTGTACACAAGCACGCACATTCTAACGCCTCGCCCGCATCCTCACTCCTCCCACATTCCCGCCCGCCTGCAGTCACGACACGGCCAAATAATTTTCGTCTAAAATAACTTCGCAGGCGCGAGCCCACGCAGAATGGTCCGCGCAGCATCTCCGCTCGGGTGCAAGAGCGCATTTGTTGAGCGCGCGTGTGGAGAGCATGCGCAGATGAAACACCGCGCACTGTATTCGACCTACCGGCTGACGAATCGGCATCCACGGAGCCCGCTGCCACCGCCACCACTTGAAGCGGTCGCCGGCTCGCCACACGCACTGCTGGCAGCGACGCGACGCGGAGGGAGCCTGCGACAGTCGCACGGGCGGGCTGCGATGACGGCGACGCGCGGGGCACAGGGAGCGCCAAGCCCAGCAAGTCGAGAGTAGCCATGGCGACGAGTGAGATGCACTCTAGCAGAGGTTGGATGTGGCAGTGAGCGTTGGGAAGAGGTGGGGTGGGCGGAGTGGAGCAAGGCGAACCAACTTCGATGGACGAGGAGGCGAGGAGGGAAAAGCGCGAGTGGGGGTGGAGGAGAGTCGCGAAGGGTGCGCTCGCGGGCCCTTTTGAGGTTGTTCCTCCCGTGGTGAGGGGAATGCTGTGGAAGGGGGGAGGGTGGGGGTGTGGCGCGGATGAATGTGGCGGAGGAGGTGGCCCGATGACGAGGACAGGGGGAGTGAATGGCGCGGAGGCAGGCTCTGTGGTGCGCCAGGAAGATGATGTGGCAATGGATCAGCTAAAGTCAGCCACAGGAGTGGTTCCTGCTTTTCCGCCTGCGAAATGGAAGTCCCTTTGTTGAGATAAGTGCGGCTGCGCTACAAGTTTTGTACATGTACATATATTACATCAAGCGCAATAATGGATTGCTATCTCACATCCTCACAATCACATTTCTTGTTGAGGTCGTAGATAAGCACAAGCAACACTGCATTTGAAATGCAGGTGGTGTAGGCAGTCGCTTTGCATGTGCACCCAGATCGCGCGACGACAACACCGGCCCTTGGATTTCCGCAAGACCTCGAGAATTGTTCCTCCGTTCCCTGACTTCAGCTCGAATCCTCCTTGCTCTCCGCTATCCATCACGGAAACACGGCTTACGATTCACACCACCACAGCAAATTCACTTTTCCCCAGCGGCCTTTTTCAAAAACATTTTTTCTTCAAACCTCTCGTCGCCATGAGCGCAATAGCAGGCGGAACTGCTGGTCTGAGCATCGCGACGCCTGCCGGCAGAGGTCGTAAGCGAGGGTCGTCAGCGGCGACGTCGCGAGCTGCTGCGGCGACAAGTGATGCGGTCGGGGTAGAAAGCCTGGGCGGCCGATCGAGCAAACGAAAAGATGCAGTTGCGGGTGGTGGTGAGGCGGGCGATGACGACGACGACGTCTTAAGCAAGCCGGCGTCTTCCCGCCTCGGGGCGACAGGCGCTGCTGCAACCGCAGGAGCAGATCAAGGCGGGCACGCGTCGGCAGGTGCGGCCGATCGCGAGGGGACAGATGGTCGGGGGGCTGCGGCGGGGTTCCGAGATGGCGAAGCTGCGACGGGAGGGCACCGCCGCGCTGTATCGGGGAACTTCGCATGGCTGGGAACGAGCACGTCGGGCGCCGCGCATGCCGTGAAGGCAGCGCTCAAGTCGTCGCTCGTCGCGCTGGGCGCCGCCAGGAGTCCCGCGTCGGCAGCAGGCAAGGGCGCATTGTCGGGCCGTTCGGCAGGGGCAGCGGGGGAGGAATCGGTCCGCGCAGCGGCGGCGCAGAGGCTGAGCGCGGTGCTGCGGCACCCCGCGGTGCCGGTGGTGCTACCCATGATGTTGGCGGTGGTCATCAGCGCCTACTTCCTCCGCCTCGTCCCCGGCGGCGGCACCCATTCCGTGGCGGACGAGTCGGGCTGGCGGCTGTGGTGGGGGGCCAACCGCGCTGAGCGCATGGCGGCCGCGGCGTCTGCGGCGGCGAAGGCGCAGCAGGCGGCGGTGGAGAGGCTGCAGGAGGTGGTGGTGCGGCTGGAGAAGCGCACCGAGTCCATGGCGCAGGCGCTGCAGGTAGGCGAGGGTGGGGGGAGAGGGGGGAAGTGAGGGGGAGAAATGGGGAAGCGGCAGGAGAGAATAGTATTATCCTGAATTCAACATCTGAATCTCGTCTTCCTACATGGCACGGTGACACCGTGGTCCCCCTGTGTGTGTGTGTTTGTGTTTGTGTGTGTGTGTGTGCACGCGCGCGTGCGCACGCGTGGTGCCATGGTGTGCACGGTGGGTGGCAGGTGCAAGTGGACACGTTGGATTCGAAGCTGGGCGCGGTGAGCAAGGAGCAGGAGGTGCGAGCGGCGCATGCAGCAGAGCTGGAGAAGCGACTGGAGCAGCTGGGCGTGAAGGTGCAGGAGACGGACGCCGCCGTGCTGCAGATTCTCGCCAACGGGGGGCCCATGGTGCGGCAGGAGGTGGTGCAGCTCGTGCAGCAGGTGCTCCCGCTCCCCCACCGTCTCTTGCCCTCGTGTCCCCCTTGCCTGCTTCCCCTTACTGCCTCGCAACCTGCATCCGCACTTCAAGTCTATGTCCTGCTCGCTGGCTGCAAAATCTGTTTTTTTTGTTTTCCATGAATAGCTTGAATACCAGCCCCTTCCGCTGCCCCCAGTCAAAGAGGCTTCTTTTGGCCCCACAACTAATGCCCTTGCACCTCTCTCCTCCTGTGTCTCGCCTGGAAACGCACATACCAGGTGGCAGAGGAGAGGGCGCAGGAGGTGGAGGGGCGTGTGTTGACGCTGGACGACGTGAGGGCGGCGGCAAAGAGGGTGGTGGAGGAGCAGCTGCAGCGCCACCTGACGGACGACATAGAGCGCGCCGACTATGCGCTCGCCACTGGCGGGGGGCGCGTGGTGGCGCACTCAGACGCGCTGTACACGCGGCAGCAGCAGCAGCAGCGCCAGCAGAAGCGCCGGTGGAGCCAGGTGGTCAGCACCGTGTCTCCCCTCGCTTCCTCCGGTGCTGCGGGCGCAGGCGCTGCTGCTTCCAGTGGCAAGGAGCCAGAGGCGGACTTGCTGCACCCGAACGCACAGGTGGTGCTGACCCCTGGGCGATTCCCCGGCAACTGCCTGCCGCTCAAGGGGCAGCAGGGGCACATTGACATCCGCCTGCGCTCCACCATTGTGCCGCGCGCCTTCACACTCGAACACCTGCCAAAGGTGCGCCCTCCACGCCCTCGCTCCCACTGGGGACTGTGCTTGCTCGAATGCTGCTGACTGCTCTATGCCAACGCATTCAGCGCACCGCTTTCCTCACCTTGTCTTTGTGCCTGGCTGAGGATGTTCCCCACTGGTCGGCCTAGCTGGAGTGCTGCACAGTGCCCCACGCCCGCACATCCCACCAAACACTCTCAACGCCTTGCCCCTTTCCCTGGCAGAGCATCGCGTATGAGATTCACAGCGCACCCAAGGACGTGGAGTTCTGGGGCAGGCGCCCTGCTACCGCCACCGCCACCACTGCTGCCGCCACTGCTGCTGCTGGCAGCGGTGGGGGCAATGGCGGTGGGGAGAGTGAGGCGGCAGGGTCAAGCAGTGCAGGTGGCGCAGTGGAGGAGGGGGAGTGGCAGCGGCTGGCAGTGGCAAGGTACGAGCTGGAGGGCGGGCCAGTGCAGACATTCAGCGTGGGGGAGGCGGTGGAGGAGGGGGGTGGTGGCGATGGCGTGGGCATTGGCATGGTGCGAGTGCGCGTGCTGTCCAACTACGGGCACCCCAACTTCACCTGCATCTACCGCGTCAGGGCTCATGGGGACGCCCTGGGCGGGTGAACGTGGGCGTACGTGGGACGTGGGCGTGGGGCAGCATAGCGGGGTGACAGCAGCATGGAATTGAGCAACGTGCTTGCTTGCTGTGGATGCTTGTAAATGCTGTGTTGAGAGGCATCAGTTGCCTTGTTGGTCTCTCTGGTTTGCTGCAGGAACACATTGATGGCTGTCATGGATATAACTGTACTTGTTGCTGTATACTGGTACTAACCACTGTTAATGCAAATTAAAAGCTGGACTGTGAATGTAATTTTCCTGCTGTCACAATGAGTGAGCGCATAACATCACAGGAAACTGTCAGTTCAGTAAGATGTAATCGCGTGCAGGCAGGCAGCAGCAAGGAACATGGCAGCCCTGAGGGATGGACTTCCTTCTAGGCCTGCACCAAGTGGCTTGTACGGGCCTCACAAGATTGCCTGTGTCCTCACATGGCAGGCACACACCATGGCGGCCTTGTGGTGATACAACACCAGGTCAATAAACTACAGTTGCAGCCTACGCAATGCAGGTCCAGACTCCAGCACTCATACAAGCCCAGCTGCATCATCACAATTCACGCCACCCCTGTCGCGACCGCTGCCAAGCACAGTTGTGGGTGCGGTGCGGCACGTGGCATCACTTGGTCTTGCGGGAGTCGTCCTCGTACTGCTCCACGAGCTTCTGCACGTCCTCCAGGAATATGTCCTCCGCCAACAACCCGTCCGCCGTGTACCTGCCACCACCCATGCAGCAAGGCCGTGCATTTAGGGAGAGGGGAGAAGGGCGGTGCGCTGATGTACTCCTGTACCGCCAGTGCATTTACAGGCACCTAAAAAGGTATAATTGCCTTGAGCATGCAGTGGATGCAGAAAGAGTGGAGAGGAATAGCCTCTGATTTGATTGAAAAATCAGCCTCCCTACTGTGTAACTGCAACAGGGCATGAAGTGGGCGACGGGGGAATGGTGCTGGGGAAAGGGTGGAGGGTGGGGTCACTGGAAGGTGCTGTGGTCAGAGCAGCAAGATCGGATCGGGGAAACGAAATGGAAGAAAGATGTTCAGTCAACTCCATTACGCCAGCAGCCACACAAAGCCAGCTTTCTGTGCTCGTGACTTCAGGCCCCCAATTCACTTCCATGACGCCACTGGCCCCGAACAAAGCACAATGCACCACAATCCCCTCCCCTCCCCTCCCCTCCCCTTCCCTTCCCTCCCCTTCCCTCCCCTCCCCTCCCCTCTCCTCCCCTCCCCTCCCCTTCCCTCCCCTTCCCTCACCTCCCCTCCCCTCCCCTCCCCTCCTTTCCTCTCCTCTCCCCTTCCACCCTTTCCCTCCCCTCCCTTCCACTCTCGCCCCTTCCCATTTCCTCCCCTCCTCCCCATCCCCTCCCCTCCCCTCCTCTCCTGCCCTCCTCTGCCCTCCCGTCCTCTCCCCCACACCCGCCCTGTGCGCCCTGGCGCGCACCATTTGGTGATGCTCTTGCAGAGTTCGACGGGGGCGTGGGCGGCGGCGGAGGAGGGGTCAGCGGATTCGATGCGCAGGTGGTAGAGGTCGGACGTGCGCTCCATGCGCGACGACACCGCCACGCCCGTCTGCGCAAACATGCCCTGCGCCATGGCCGCCCCGTTGCACCCAGGGCATGGAGGGGGAGGTCCGGAGGGGAGGAAAGAGAGAGGGGGTTTGAGGGGTGGAGAGGGGTGCAGGAGGAAGCATAAGTGGCGGAGGTAGAGGACGGAGGCGGAGGGAGTGCAATGAGGTGCAGCAGTGGGTGGGCAGCATGGACATGGGGTAGAATAAGGCATGAACACGCTCCGGGTACAGGTGGTGCGACGAGGAGGAAGGGTGGTGGGGCAATGAGGAGATGAAATGGTATACCGATTGAGGGTAGGTGAAGAGGAAGTAGTTCTTCTCCTTGAACGTGACGATGAGCTGTAGCAGCACGTTGAGGGCTAAGTATGTGGTGATGGTGGCCACGCACAGGCAACACACACGAGACATGCAAAAGCAGCCCAGACAGTGGGAGGAAAGGGGAAGGGAAGGAGGGGAAAACCGGGGCGAGAGCAAGAGAGAGAGGAAGAGAGAGAAGCGAGGGAGTGGGGAGAGAGGAAGGGACGAGGGAAAGGGAGAGGAGAGGATAGAGAACCACAGAATTTTGCAAAGAGAGGGTTAAGGAGGCAACCACAGAGGGGAGGCAACATGCAGCCATCAAGGGCCGCGTGAGCAGCAGTGGTGGTGGTGCGGGAGGGGATAGAACGAGAGGGGGAGAGGGGAGCGCGTGTGTGGAGAGAGGAGGAGGGAAGTCGGGCGTGGGAGCAGTGAGCAAGGCGGACAAGCGGCAGGCGAGACAGGCAACGGGCGAACAAGAGACAGCGCCAAGGGTGGACTATTGGTGAGAAGAGCAACAGGGGGAGATGTCTCGAGCATGAAATCGGGAGGGAAGGAGGGGAAAGGGGGGAGACAGGCGGCGGCGGGGCGGATATAGGACGATGCAGGCGAGCAGCAGCGCGCGGTTGTCGGGGAACTTGCGCGGGTAGAACTGCGCCACGCACGCGACGGCGCACGCCGCCGCGCAGATGGCCATCTTGACGTTGCTGAGCGTGTGGTCCTCCTCGTACCCGCGCGATATTATTATCTGCCGCCCGCCGCCCGCCGCGCAACGACCGGGGGTGCGGGGAGGAAGGGGGAAAGCAGGGGAAGCACGACCGGTGAGTGGGAGCGGGACGTAATGAGGGCGGAAGGGGGATGAGCGGGGACGCATATGGGAGGAGAGGGGAGAACTTGCACGAACGCGGCAAATTGGGGCTGCGACGAGAATATGCATGCGGACGCGCAAAGCTGGCGCGGGGAAAGAACACATTCCGCTACGGCGAACGCGACGGACTGTTGCGCCAAAAGCCCCGATCGCACTGCGCGGGAGACGCGGCGTGGCGAGCGGGAAGAGAGGGAAGCGGCGGGTGCGCGGGGAGACTGACATCCGTGGCGACCTCGTCGAGGTGGCGCTTGAGCATGACGTGGTCGTCCAGATTCAACCCCTTGGGCTTCGCCTCCACCACCGCCGCCTCGCCTTCCGCCGCCGCTGCCGGCCGCGACGACCAGATGCCCATGGCGGGAGCAGGCGCGGTCGTTGACTCGTAGATGCGGTGGATCGAATCTGGAAACGAGTGAACGGGTGCGCTGGGGCAGCAGGTGGAACGAAGACGAATGGGACACGTGAGGGTTGCTGGTGGTCAGTCCGCGATCACAACACGCAGGCGAGGCATTTGTGCCTTGAGATTGTGGGGTGACAATTTTGCGGTAAGGTGAGGTTGGGTGAGGTCTAAATTGGTGAAAAGCTAGAACCGTTTTGTCAGCGCACTAAACGAACCCAAACGATGAAGTCTCCATTTTCTATTGGATTGGCATTACAACCTCGTGACTTCAAGAGGGATCTTGTGAAAGTGTACAAACGCGGATATTGTTCACTCGCAGCCCGCTGTTTGAAGCTTCAAATTTGAAGTTGGCAATTCAAACGCGCAGGCCACAGCCATGGTCTCACCATGCACGCTCCACTGCACCATCAAGCATCCCAGCTACGACCCGTTGTCACTGCGGCGTTGCCTGCATTCGCACATCCCAGGCTTGCCGAGCCTCGATACTTGTCCAACATCACAGCACCCAATGCTTCATCTTTCGGTCTTCGCAATTCATTTTGCTGTTCTGAGACTTTCATCTCGTACCTACTCCCTCATCTGGACCGTGTCAAAGAATTAGCTTCTCATCCTTGCATCCGTAAGGGGTTTGCCGTTCTCCATCGACCACGGGCTCCTGCACAGCGATTTCAGCCCATTCGGCTTCATAAAGTTCTGATAGCGGATCGATCCATACCCCCCATTGCTCCGGCCATTCGACAAGCTCTTGCTCGGCGTCTCTCCATTCCTTTTCCTAGCACTCACCCCTCTCGCGCTGCGGCCGTGTACCGCGCGGCCTCTCACAGCCCCCGCGCAGCTATGGACTCCGACGCCTCTCACGGCGATCGGGGCAAGGCGCCTGCGCATGACGGCGCGCGGCCGTTCCAGGTCGTGGTGGCGGCGACGCCGGAGATGGGCATCGGGCAGGGCTGGCAGCTGCCGTGGAAACATCTGCGGCGGGACATGGCGTTCTTTAAGGAGGTGACGTCATCCACGAGTCGCCCCGGCACTCGGAACGCGGTGCTTATGGGTCGGCGCACGTGGGAGTCGCTGCCGCCCCGCTTCCGACCGCTGCCGGGCCGGCTGAACGTGGTGCTCACGCGCTCAGGGCAGCTGCCCGCCACGTGCTCTGACGGCGACAGCTCAGCCGGGGCCGGCAGCGGTGGCGGCGGCACGCAGCAGGACGTGGTGGTGGCGGACAGCCTGGCGGCGGCGCTTCTCATGCTGGGCACGGAGCCACACAAGTCGAGCATCGAGAGTGTGTTCGTCATCGGCGGCGGGCAAGTGTTCAGGTGAGCGACGAGGCAGGCGGCTGAGATTAGAGTCAGCGTCAGCGTCGTCGCCTCAAAGCCATTCAGTTTGCACGCACCTTTTGAGATGTGTCAGAACTGTGCAGGCTAACGAACACGCAGACAGATCTTATGGGAGTCAGGTGCTCCTAGGCACCTTGCGCGTGCAACGAGCGCACGTTGCATACAGTCTTGCTCATCTTCCCCACAGTCGCCTGGATTCGCCGACAAGTTTCTGTCCCGCAATCCTTATTCCCCCGTGTCCCGCGCGTGCTGCAGCGAGGCACTGTCGTCGCCGCTGTGCGAGGCCATCCACCTCACTCGCGTGCGCCGCCTGCTGGCCGCTGAAAGCACCGCCCTTGGTGGCGCATGTGGCGGAAATTCTGACGCGGCAGAGGTCGAGGAGGTGATTCCGTGCGACACGCACATGCCCGCCATCGATCCCTCCACGTTCCGCGTGTGGCGCGCGTCCTCTCCCTTCAACGACAACGGTTACTCCTGCGCCCTCCTCACCTACGTTCGCACCTCCACCCCGCCCCAGTCCACCCCACCGGCCTCGTCCTCCCCTGCAC